ATGGGTTTTGTGAGTTTTGATCCACCTCTAGTTTGTAGAGAATCTGTGGTATTATGCCATGATGGACCACTGGTATCTGGCTGGAATGGGCACCTACTCAATTGTTACAATAATTACTTTGAATTGGTAATATACCTACTTGGTTCAAAAATCAAAGCTGTACAGAAGATACACAGTGAAAAGTCTCACGTCTTTCCTGGCCTCCCTTCACTTACTGATTCCCACGTGGGTAACCGCTACCACTTTTGTCTCTGTGTATCCTTCCAGAATTTTTTATAGTAATAAAAAATTGTTTTCCTTGTTTATCCCACCCTTTTTTATAGTCAGGGTACCATGCAGTCATACTGCTCTGCATCTTGCTCTTCCATTATTAGTTTCTAGAGGGAATCCTCATTCTTTTTCAGAGTTGTATAATATTCTCCTCTGTGAATGTGCCATATTTACTTAATCTGTCCTTTGTTGATGGACATGTGGATGGTTTTTAGCCTTTGCTGTTATAAGCGAGTAACCTTGCAGTTTCATCTGTAGACTAGATTCTTTGAGAGGGGCTACTGGGCCAGAGGTTCCTTGTAATGCCGGTAGATCGTGCCGCCTCACCTCCGTGGGGGTGGTGCCAGTCAGCCCTCCCTCCAGTGAGGCATGAGAAGATTCAGTCCTTTCCCAAGTCCTTTCCGTCTCTGTCTACCAGTATCTGCTCCATTCCAAATTGGACTCCTTGAAATGATTAAATTGGTGTGTAATGGGTTTGTAGGAGGGGGCCGTGCCGTATTCCATTAGCACTTATAGTCTCACCCATTTAGCATTTGTTAGCCCTGTAACTTAGTAGACCTCAGGGACACGTCAGAAGCTAGTGAGGCAGAGACACAGGGCTGGCCTGGGCCTGTCGTTCCCGGTCTCTCCCTGGGAAGACAGTGCCAAACCTTTTGGGAGAAGGGAAATGTCCACAGCAAGGTGCCAGGGTTCAAGTGAGTCCCGCTCCTGCCCAGAGGTGCGGTTCCATGAGCCTTCTTGTCAGCAGCACGGGTTGACAGGGTAGAGAGGGTGCCCTGGGCCCACCTGGCATGGTGGCTCAGAAGGCCACCAGAAGGCCAGGGTGGGGATGATCACGCTTGAGTCTTATCTGTTTCTGTTTTGATTCATTTACCAAACCTTTCCTCGCCAACTAATGAACAAAAACTGCTGGTTTTTATAAGTTGGCCTGTACTTTAGCACATGAAGTGAGCTGAATGTGGCCAGGCCCACCCACCCCTGTTCTGGTGCATCCAGAGGGCTGTAGGTCACACCGGGACAGGGATCCTGCAGCCCTTACATCTGAGTGACCAGGGCCCAGAGAGCTCAGTTAGAGGCAGACAGGTCCTGCTCACTTGGTGCTTTAGCTGTGACAGGTGTCTCCTGCCACGGCCTCCACTGGGGGATGAGTCACGGTGGCTGTCTGGGGTGGAAAGGGGAGCAAGGCAGTGATGTTCTCCTGCTTGGTGCTCTGGGCCTTCAAACAGGAGGGGAGAAGAGGCTCGGGCCTCTGTGTGGGCTCCCCCGCCCCACCCCGAGGAGCAAGGATGGCAGGGGAGTCGGACCTTGTGCTGAGGCTCTGGAACTGCAGCTCTGAGGGGGGCGTTCACTGTATATTAAAGGGAGGGCTGGAGGGAGAGAGTCTTTATATTTGCATCTCTGAGTTTTGAAGGTCTATGTTTCTGCTCAACCTAAACATCTTAGAGCAAGGTTCTTAAATTTGGGGGGTCAGGTACCCCTTTTAGAAGCCAAAAGCCATGGGTCGACCCTCTGTCCAGAATAAAAGTGCTCCCCTTAAGGGTGCTGGAGCACGTCAACAATTTTGCACACAGTTTTGGGGGTCATTGGAGCTCCAGAAGCTCATCCCCCAACCTTCTTAGGATAGTAGTTCTCACTTATTATTAGTGTTATTGTTATTACTATTACTATGTTGTTATTTTGCCTGCATGCTGCACTCGGTAACATTGTTCATGCATGTGCTGATTCTCTGTGGAGACAACCCTGTGGGAATGGGGAAGAACGGGGTAGTTCGAACAGTCGCTGGCCAAGGAGCCTGTGGAACTGGGTTTGGAATACCTGGTAGAGAGGCCCGTTTGCTTTGCTTGAAAAGCAGAGGGGTGAGAGGGGTTTCATCTTCCCCAGACATTGCCCAGGCACCTTCCCTGGCTGTGGGGTGAGCAGGGGGCTGGGGGTGCATTTTGGGCTTCTCTCCACGTTTCCTGCTCAGAGTGAGTGCTGAGGAAGGCCTTCGCTCACCCCAGAGCACCCTGATGCCCTTGCTCAGAGGCTGCCTAGGAACATGGGTGAGGCCAGGCAGATGGGAGGGCCCCCGCCTGCCATTTCCCGGCTCCCCAGCAGGGCTGCATTCAATCTCCTGGGGGGGGGGGAGGTTAATGACTCATTATCCCAGCCATTAGTCACGTCACCAAGGCACTTGATTCCCTGCAGAGTGGGTGCCACATGATGCCAGTCTGGCCTGGCAGACCAGATCAGTGCTGCTTCTCTCTCGCCCTGGGTGAGGTGTGCAGCCCTGGAAAATAGTCACCACCTTCTCCGGGCGCGGACTTGTGACTGCAGCAGCCCCCAGACCTGGAGACTGGGGCAAAATGGTCTCTTGCCTGTGCCCCACCCGCGAGGCCACCAAGACCTCCAGGACCTCCAGGCACCAAGGGGACTCGCTACGGAAAGGAGCACGTGGACACTTAGGCAAAGATCCCATCACGTGCCCCACACACACATGGGATGCGTAGAGGTCCGTCTCTGCACGCGTGTGTGGACGTGGAGGGATGAAGGGACGCCACTACACCTGGGAACTATTTATAAAACATCGTGTGTGTATTCTTGCATGTTAAAACTCCGAAGTACTCTCCATTTGATGCAATACACCTATCGAGACTTTTCCACTGCCCCAAATAGTTTTTGAACTCGTCGATTTTGATGGCTTTTAGTGCTTCTGCCATCTTTTGTTTTGCCTCTTCCACTTCGGCAAAACACTTCCCTTTGACGATTTATTTCATCTGGGGACACAAAAGAAAGTTGCTTGGAGCAAGATGGGGTGAATAGTAAAAGTAGGGTTTTGGGGTCATGTTGTTTTTGATCAAAAACTGCTGAACACTCAGCATGGTGTGGGCAGTTACCCTCGTAAATCACCCATCATGAAATGGGCAAATGCGTTGAAAGAGTCTTAAAAAAATTCACTGAAGCCGAACACAGCCTCTCACAACAATATCAGGTAGCCCACTGACACAGATGGGCTCCTAGAACACTGAGCTAGTGGGGGAAGCCTGTACTACAAAGGGCTCACCCTCCAGAAGGTAACTCCGGGTTTTGGGGGCCCTCCTCATATGAACACGTGAGAAGTCCTCCAAGGCGGAGCAGGGAAGAGCTCTGGCAGGAAGCACTCGGGATGGGGAGGGTCCTGCCTTGTCTCCTCTGCCCTGGGATGCTCTCACTGTGCTGGCCAGTCTCCCTGGGCTCTCCAGCTTTTTGACTTCGGAACAAGAGAGGGCCAAACAAAACTTTTACAGACAGCAGTGACTGCCTGTCACTCATTAAAATGAAGGCAAAACAGGTGAGAACATCTCTTTTCAGTGGTTATGTCCTAAGTCTCCTATTCCAACACTAGTCACAATAGATGAGAAGCTTCATTTCCCCCGTTTCTAAGAGAATAGCATCTCCACCCACCTCCGTGCTCCTGTCTCCAATGCATCCTCTCCTCTCCCTGCCAAGGAGAGGTCTTGCAAAATCCCAGCCCTTACAGGTGAGCCGTAGAACAGAGTCTGGACAAAAAGGGGTGAGCAGTCAGGAACTGACAGGGGTCAAGTGCCCCGTGCATGCGGGATCCTGTTGACCTCATGTAACGTTCATACCAGTCCTTAGAAGTATTCCCCATTTCACAGATGGTAAAACAGAGACTCAGAGCATTAGTCACAGAAGTTTTCCAGAGAAAGTGTGACTGGCCGCAGCGGTTCCAGGCCTGTAAGCCTGGCTCCCTGACTCTAGCACGGCACTGTTTTCAGTCCTCATGGAGACGGCACCTGTGAAGTGAAGGCAGCACTTGCTCTCACCTGTGCCTTCCTGCCCTCTTAACACACCTGCAGAAGGCGCGAGAAGCTTGGGCCAGGGTCTGGGGCCCTGGGTCCTAGTCCTAACTCTGCCACTATGTTTCTGTGATCAAATAAATCCCTTCCCTTTTCTGGACTTTTTTCTGCTCTCGTAAAGCAGTTAGCTTGGCCTCAATAATGGCCAAGTCCCTTCTTTCCCCCTGCCGCCACCCATAGACACACAAGCATTTTTAGATTCTATACATAGGCACGGTAACTCCCCACTCTCCCCACCGAGCCCTGCTTTTCTTCCTGTGGATCCTGTCTGCAGTAGGCAGTGTCCAGGCAGAGAGAGGAAGCCTGGCCCCTAACAACATGAATGAATGAAGGGAAGCCCTCCCTGTTTGGGAGATAGAAATCTCTCACTCTCAGTTGCTGGGCTCATCAATAATTCAGGGGCTGCTGTCAGGTCTGATCTCTGCAATGGCTTCCTCAATATTTCAGCTCCTCTAGAGCCCGTTTCTTAGCAACCAAATCATCCATGCTCTCTAGGAGGGCTGCCGGGCTGTATGCTCCCTGGGCCCCCAGTCCAGAATAAGTGGCCATGGGGTGGATCCACCCATGCCACCTGGAATTGGCACCTTTGGCCCTCACGGCCCGAGGGGCAATGCTGCATACGGAGGGAGGTGTGTGTGCACCAGGTGAGGGAGATGAACTGCGTGGCACATCAGAGCCTCTCAGGTCCATTCAGGTCAGAACAGGTGGATGAGGGGAATTTTAGAAGGAGGTCGGTGTTGCTGGCCTGGCTAACACTGACACCCCACCTCCTCGTCCTAGCATGGGTCAGGCCTGCCCTTGCCCCTCTCTCCTCCCTAGGTGTGGGGAAGAGGAGTGTTCTCGCTTCTCCCCCTTACCCAGGCTTAAGTGCTGGTTCCCTTTGTGGCCCAGGTGCGGTGGAGGCTTGCCTCCTGCATCAGCTGAGACGCCGTGCCGCCGGCTTCCTACGCAGTGACAAGGTGGCTGCTCTGTTCACCAAGGTGGGGAAGACGTGCCCAGTGGCTGGGGAGATTTGCCACAAGGTACAAGAGCTGCAGCAACAAGTAGAGGGCAGGTGAGCCCTGGGCTTGGCCCTCCCACCCCTCCCTTCTGCTCTTACCATTTGGTGTTGGCTACTTCCCAGGTTGGCTTTTGGGCTCATTTCTTGAGGGGCCTCCCAGGACCAGCCTGAGGGTGGGCATTGGCCCCTTATAGGCACTAGGCCCTATCCCCCTGCCCTCAGCTCCTAGTCAGTCCTCTGGGCTCTGGTCTTACGGCACCAAACTCCACTCCCAGCGCCACTAGTCTGGGGCTCAGCCCTGGGCTCTTGCACTCCTAAAGCCCACCCCTCTTTGCAGGAAACCCTTGGCGAGTAACCAGGAAGCCCTGCGGAGACAGGGCTCTGCTGGTGGGAAGGCCCCAGCCCTCAGCCCACAAGCCTTGAAACACATATGGGTACGCACAGCGCTCATCGAGAAGGTGCTGGACAGGGTCGTGCAGTACCTGGTGGAGAACTGCAGGTGAATGCGCCTTCCTGGGGCCCACCTCCTGACCATTCCTTCAGCCCCACCCCTCAGCATGCACGGCTGTCCAGCACAGACCACAGGCACGCCCACTCTCTCCTGTAGCTCCTCAAAAGCATAGACCACACCTGGCATTCCACCAAGTTTATTTCTTCTTGGTGACTAACAAGAATTTAGTCTCTGTGGGAATGTCCCTGCTTGGTGAGCTTGACCGCCCTGGGATGAGTCTGGGAGCCCAGCAGTGCCCCTGTCTGTCTCTCCCCTGGCAGCAAGTACTATGAGAAGGACGCGTTACTGGCAGACCCTGTGTTTGGTCCCATCTTGGCCTGTCTTCTAGGTGAGCCTAAGAGCAGAGAGGCCTCTGCTGGGCCAGTGGGGGTTTAGGGGCAGGTGTAGGGGGCACCATCTGAGTGGCTGTGTCTGTCTCCACAGTGGGACCCTGTGCCTTGGAGTACACCAAGCTCAAGACAGCTGATCACTACTGGACTGACCCTTCTGCTGATGAGCTTGTCCAGAGACACCGTATCCGGGGTCCCTTTAATCGCCAGGACTCCCCTGCGAAGCGCCCAGCCCTAGGAGTAGGTGTCCCTCTCCCCGCCCCGTGTGCTCATCCAAGTTATGCTCATGGGCATGTAGGGGGGAGCAGCTGGCCTCCATGCTCTGTAGACACAGGCTGGGACTTAGAGATGCCCCAAAGTAGTGGCCACCTCAGAAGAGCCTCTTCCCCACACTGGCACTTAATGCCAAGAACACATAAATGCCAGGGGCACACCTGGCTGAGAGCAAACTAGGGGCAGGAAGGACCCCCAGGGTCATCCAGAGAGGGTCTGCATGGAAGTCCAGGGTCCGCAACCTCCCAGGTTGATTTCCCACGGCTGGGGCTGAGCTGGGGCTTTGTGCAGATCCGGAAGCGGCACTCGAGCGGCAGCACCTCGGAGGACAGGCTAGCTGCCTGCGCCCGCGAGTACGTGGAGTCCCTGCACCAGAACTCGAGGACGCGGCTGCTCTACGGCAAGAACAACGTGCTGGTGCAGCCGGTAGGAAGCCTAGTGCTCACCCCTTACCTCCCTCCTCCAAAGACCCCAGGGCTGGAACCTTCTGGCCACATTTATCCCTTTCCTAAGGGGCTTGACCAGAGGGAAGGGAGATAAGGACCTCACCCCCACTTCACTGTCTCACGCCCAGTCATGAACTTGCAGGAGCCAGAAATGGCATCTGCTCTGGCGAGCTGAGAACCAGGCCATCTGGGGACAGGAATGGCAGCCAGCAGGCGGGGGAACGCCCAGCTTGGGTATGGCTGGCTCGGGACACACTTGGCAACCAGGAGATGGACAGGGCAGAGCCAGTGGCACCAGGCCAGCCAGGAAGAGGATGTGCCCACATCCACGTGTAGCTCACGTTCTCCCCTGCTGCCACCGGGGCTCCAGTCCGGGGTCCCTGGCTGGACTAGCTTGGCCCCCCGACTCCCACCTGGGGTTCGTTTTCCATAGGCTGTCCCTGGGATACTCTCAGCCCCTTGTCGTCTCTGTCTTCTTGTATGTCGTCTCCTCCCTGTAGAAGGAGGACATGGAGGCTGTCCCTGGCTACCTCTCCCTGCACCAGTCTGCAGAGAGCCTGACTCTGAAGTGGACTCCCAACCAGCTCATGAACGGGACTCTGGGGGACTCTGAGCTGGAAAAGAGGTAGGGGCTTTGGGACTCACTCCCAGGAGCCAGGGAAGGGAGTAAGAGCTTGCCACCAGGCGGGGGGTGGAAAGGCGCAGCCTACTCCAGGAGGCAGGCCTCACGCTGTGTCTGATGCCAAGAATTGCAGAGAGAGGCTGCCTGGAAATATTCCCAAGCTCTCTAAGACCCAGCCAGGCCTGGGCATTAAGAGGGTTGCCAGAGCCAAGCTCTAGGTATCTGACACTGCCAGGCTCTGTGCCATGAAGGCAGCATGGAGCCCAGAGGGACATGGCTGGCAGAGGTCACTTCTTGGCTGCGGTGATCCTGTCCTCAGGGTAGTTTCACAGGTGCTGGGGCCAGGAGTTGAGGAAGGCAGGATGGCTGGTCTTGGGACACAGTGACACCAATCTGGTTTCTTTCCAGCGTTTACTGGGACTATGCCCTGGTTGTGCCCTTCAGTCAGATTGTCTGCATCCACTGCCACCAGCAGAGTGAGCCTCCTTTGTCCTGGGCACAGGGGTGAGGGAGGAGAGGCTGCCTTCTCCGGGTCACACGCAGCAACGGCCCATTGGATGTCTCGTTCTTCTTTTGTCATCCCCACACTCTGGCCCTGCTGTCCTCTTACCGAGTCTGGGGGCCTGGCCAACTGGGCTGCGGTGATGTCCTCGAGGTCTCGGGGGCCCTGCTCCATTCACCCATGTTCAACCCCCTGCCCCCAGAGAACGGTGGCACACTCGTGCTGGTGAGCCAGGATGGCATCCAGAGGCCGCCGCTGCACTTCCCACAGGGGGGACACCTGCTGTCCTTTTTGTCCTGCCTGGAGAACGGACTTCTGCCTCGAGGACAGCTAGAGCCCCCGCTCTGGACCCAGCAGGGGAAGGTACCTCCGGGCTTGGGAGACTGTGGGTGAAGGGGTGTGTGAGGCAGGTTCTCTGCCTGCCTCCCTTCCTTTCCGCACATGGAGTTCTTAGGAGCAGCCTTGGGTGGGACCCTGGAATGGACTCTGCCCTGCACAAGCTAACTGCCCACCTCTCCCTCCCCAGGGGAAGGTGTTCCCCAAGCTACGGAAACGCGGCAGCATGCGACCCGTGGATGTGGAGGAGATGGGCACAGGGTGGGCCACGGACTACGTGTTCCGGATTGTTTACCCTGGTCACAGACACGAGCACAGTGAGTGTCCCGCGCTGCTTCTGCGGAGGAGAAGGGTGCTCGGGGAGGCAGGGGAGCACGGCCTCACCCAGGAGGGGCGGCAGGCGAGTGCGTGGCCAGACCAGGATGAGACCAGCTGTTTGGGGCTTAGTCTCTCACTGGGCCTTTCACCTGCAGCTGTCCTCCCAGGAGTTCGCTTCTCTTCCACCTGCTCTCTTTCCCTTCCCTCGTCGCCCCAAGGATCTTGGCTCAGCCGATCCAGGCGTCTCTATACCATATTCTCTTAGTCATACTTTCATGCCCTGCCCTGGGGGTAAAAACATGGCAAGACTAGATACAGAAGGTGGAGAACCTTCCATTTTGCCTCGGCCCACTGTCTGACTTCCACGAGGCCTGGGTGCGGGGTCAGTGCTTCTTTTTGGATGGTGCAAATTGTTCGCTGACTCCATTGGAGCCAGGACCCTTCTCAAACCAGCTGCTGATGAGAGGGGCTGTAGCTGGAGTGGGGGGTGCATCTGAAAAGGGTGAGACTTTCAGCTTGGGGTGGGACAAGGGTGGGGCTGAAAGGCTGCTTGGCACTGGTGTGTCCTGTCCCACCTGGCTGTACACTCTGGGCCCCACCAGGTACCTGCCAACACCAGAGTTCCTTTTCCCGGCAGTGTGCTCTGCTCCCCACGGGCTACTCCAGGCCAGACCCACGGATCTGGGAAGAAGGTCGGGGATGTGCCAGCCCAGATCATTGGCCGCCAGAGCACCTGCTCCCTAAGGGTCCTAACTTGTGCCAGTTAGTTGTCAACAAGTTGCCTCTGTATTAACAGACGGGTTTCCCAGACTGCAAACACATACCCACAGCACAAGTAGTCCCAACAGGCTTGGAAGGCACAAGATGTGGGGACCCCCCCCCCCTTTCTGATGTGCCTGACTAGGAGACGCATCTGCCGGGCGTGTTTGCACGCCTGGCATTTAACCTCGGGCAATTGCTCGGCTTAGATTACTCGGCCTGCACTTCCTCTCTTCAAGCCGTGGCATTTCCCACTTCTGGTCACTTCACTTTAAGATCCACGTCCCTGGAGGGCAAGTGAGGGCTCCAAGAAGCTGAAACCCAGTGGGGTGACTCGGGCTCCTAGAGAGCAGCCCTGGGAAACCCTTGGAGGTTGGATTTTTAGTCTGAAGAAGGGGGTTCGGGGAAATCTTTGCGTTTGGCCCAGCCAGATCATGACGCAATCTGAAGGACGATCGGGATCCATCCGCCAACTGTAGTGCCCAGCCTGCGCCAGGGCTGGGGAGCACCTGCGCTGCCAGCCTGTCCCAGCTGGGCCCCATCCTTCCCTGCCCTGGCTCCCCCCTCAGCTCTCTCTTGCCTGTTCTTTCCAGGGAGGGCCATCTCCAAAGAGTGGAGCTCTGTAGCTGCTACTGTCCCCCCACTTTCTTCCGTACTCTCCCCAGTAAATCATCAAAAGACTCTCAGGTTCCCCTTTCCACTCTTCCATGCGCTGCAGGCTGAAGGTGACGCAGACGCCACTCTGCTCCCCACGAGGACGGAGTCCGGTCTCTCCTGCCCCAGGACTAGGGTCCTTATGCTCTGCCTCTCTCGCTGTTCTCTTCGAGCAGTCACTATTAACTACCACCACCTAGCGGCCAGCCGCGCGGCCTCGGTGGACGATGATGAGGAAGAGGAGGATAAACTACACGCGATGCTCTCAATGATCTGCTCGCGGAACCTCACAGCTCCCAATCCGATGAAAGGTTTTTATCCCTCCCCTTCTCCCTGCTCTACCCTGTCCTTCTGCCCCCACCCTCCTGGGCCCACCTGCCACCCACCGCAGGGCTCAAATGGCAGTGTTGGCATTATGGGACTTGTACCCAGGATGGTTCCCTTCCATCAAGAGGCAGGTCTGGGAGGGCAGAAGGAGGCGCTGGCAAGAAGAGTGGATGGGACAAAACGCAGTGGGCCCTGGGGTCCCCACTGAGTCTGTAAGGATGGGGAAGAGACCCGCCGGGTGGGAAGGTCTGATGGTCTGGCTGCCCCTGGAAACCCGGAATGGCTGTTGAGCCCTTTCCTACTCCTGGGCCTCATGCGGGCAAACCCAAGGCAGTGCCTCTCTCTCCCCTGCTGCTGGCCCGGTGCCCCCAAGTCCTGCCTCTATGAAACAGGACAGAAGTACCAGGCCCCTCCTGGGTCGGGGTAGGGGCTGCATGGCTCATGCAGACAGGAGTCACCATTGGGTCAGGTGAGAGGTTGGAGCTGCCATGGAAGGAGACCCAGGGCTCAGTTACCCAGCAAGCCTGGGTGCTCCAGCAGGCACTGCCTGGTGCTTTAGTATGAAATCTAGACACATCTGCCAGGGATATAAGTCAGGTGCGTTCTGCCCTCACAGGCCGCAGGGTGCCCAGGGTCCCTTTATTGTAAGTGGCACAGCTTAGTGCCCACAGCCGCTCTGTCCATCACCTATCTTAGCACAGAGCTAGGCTGGTGAAGGGGGACCCCACTCTCTGTAGTGTAATCAGCCAGGGAACCTGTGAGGCTTAGGCTGGGGTACCCAAGGGACATCCGTTACGAAGGGCCAGCTCTCTTGGACTTTAGGGGAATTTCCCCATTCTCATGCCACAGACTTAATTTTTGTCCCTTTCCCTGCCCTGCAGAGGGTGTCTAAGGACACGTGACATTCCCCTTCCGCTCCACAAAGTTCTGCCAAAGAGTTCAGTTCCTTAGCCTAGCCACCATGCCAGTGATGAGTCTCCCTCTCTCTGGGCAACCAAGTCCCGTGGCCTAGCACACGCCTGGCACCCCCTCAGCATGGCCCTGCCAGCTGCCCCTTTCCTCGCCACATGCCCGCCTTCGTGACCACCCTCCCTCCCAGCCATCTCAGTCGGATGTGCAGGCCAACCCAGGTGGGAACCCGGGGACCCTCACCTGATGTTTGTCACCTGCACATGGCCTGCCACCTGGTTCCTTGCAAGCCTGGGCTTGGGGCTGATGCTTATTATAGGTTAGCTGACTTTAAGCAACGTGGAAAAGCTGAGTCAGGAGGGCCCGGGCTGACCCTTCTCACCCCCAGGAACTGGTAGTCAGGCTGGGGGCTGGGGGCTCCTGCTGAGCCCCTGTCTTGGAAGACTTGATGGTAGGAGGCCTCCTCCTGACCAGTCTTAGTACCGAGGCCTCCAGGGTCAGAGAAACGTCCAGGCTCACAGGGTGCAGAGGCCTCAGGGCTTGTCTTGGAATTATTTTGGGGAACTCGGGGGCCAGACCTACCCAGTATGCCAGCATGCAGCCCCTGGGACTCCAGTACTTGAGAGAGGGGAGGAGGCAGGGGAGCAGAGTCAGCAGGTTGTCGGGGGAGATGGTGTGAGAGCCCCCACTTCCACTCCAGTCCATAATGACAACACTGTTGAGTCCGTTCTGCTAGCTGTTGCTTTTCAGGCCTGCAACATGCTTGACTTGTGCATGTGAATCAAGTGGCGGGTGTCCAGACTCTCCTCTCCTTCCCCTCCCCCCTTCTCCTGCTGCCTCCCACAGAGCAGACATGCTATTCACTCTAATTCTGCTCCAGGCCAGGCACCTTTCACTCGGAGTCTTAGGGGCTGTGGGGTTCAACCACCCTGATTGTTTTGCTTCAAACTTTCCTCAAGCTCAGAGGAGAGAGTCAGAGTCAAAGCTGACCCAGCGAGCCCCCTCCCAGCCTGCTGCCCCTTGCCCAGTCACTCCAGAGCTCCCGCTGTCTGCACTGGGTTAACTCAGAGATTCAGTGTTCCATGCTGGCTGGTTCAGCTCCTTCCTGGAGAATTAAGGTGAAGAGCATTGACCCAGGAGACTTGCCCTGGCTGAGCCCTGCTTTCCCAGCATGAGCTCATTTCCCTGCGTGCCCACCCTCTGCACCTGTCTCCCCCCTTGCCTGCCCGCCTGCTGCCTGCCGCCTGCCTGGCTGGGCCTGCTCCCACCTCAGCTCCTCTCAAGACCGACCTCTGTCCTTGCCTGCTGCTGTGGCATGAGCTGGGCCCCCCCCCCCACCCCGCCCCACCTGCATTTATCCACCCCTCTTCTCTTCCCTGAATCTTCTGCATGGCTTGCAAGGCCTCATTCCCAGAGCCGCAGCCCCTCCACACCGAGTACGTTCCCTTAATTTGCCTCCTGGTGGAGCTGAAGGGCCAGATCGCTACAAAAATCCCACCCTGGATCTGGGAAGAGATTCCCGGCCAAGACCAGGCAGCCCCTGAGAGGACTGGAGGGGGCTCAGCTCAGCCCTCCCCACCAAGGCACACCTAGAGCTGGAGTCTGGCCCCACAGAAAGCAGACCCAGGTCTGCTCCGGACTCAGCAGGCCAGCGCCCAGGCCACAACTCGCAGAAAGCAGCACTGCTTGAAAAAAGTCCTCATCACACACACACAGCTCTCTCTCTCTCCCTCGTTCTTCACTCTTTTCTGTTCTCTCCCTCCCTCCTAACATTGCCTCCTAGTCCTTTCACTTCCTGTCCTCACTTTGTTTCCTCTCTGTGACTCACTGGACCTGCCGGAGTGCCCCCTGAGTTGTGCTCTGTCCCACTCGGGCCCTAGAAGCTCTCACTGGTCACGGCTTCTCATTCAGACCAGCTGGGCTGGCGGAGGAGGCTCCATCTATTGTACTTTGGGTGCAGATGTGTCTCAGGAGCGGTTTTCTGAGGCTGCCCCTGGGGACGTTCTTCTGGACGGTTGGTGGAATGGTGTGCCCAGCCGCCGCCCTCATCCCAGTGGTGGTCTGGCAGCCCTGGGACCTTTGCCCTTCCCGCCAGCCTGCCTGTGTGTGGGGGGGCCACTGTGCTGAGTGCAGTCAGGCCGGGCAAGGACGGAGAACTCAGGGAGGACCCACAGGAGCTGGCAGTGGGGGCGCGAGGCCCGCGCAGGGAGTCCTAACTCTCGTCAGCCACTGGCCACCCAGTCTAGAACCCTCAGGGGTCCTCAGGGGCTTTGATCAGTGGAGACTTGGCACAGGAAAGCTGGCAGTGTTCTGGGTCCAGGCATCTGCCCGTGCCTCTCAGAGTTTATCCCAGAAAGAGGACCGGGCTGAATCACCAAAGAACATGCTAGCTGGCAGCAGCTTAGGGAGCTCAGGCTTCTGTTGTTCCTTCTCTTGCTTTCTCTTTCCTCTAGAAAAGCAAGTGTTTTCCATTGCTGATAGCAAGATGGAGAGAACAAACACAATCATCCACAACTCAGTCAAAGTATCCCCTCACGTGCAGAAAAATCAGGTGGAGGCTGGGAAGTGTTGGGCACCTCCCTCTCACCACTGCCATCTCTGGGCTCTGACCGGGCAGGTGCCACCCCCGCAGCTCTCCACCAGTGGGTGGCTTCATGCTGCAGCTCTGGGCACAGAGGTGGGCATGCTGCAGGGTGGCTGGGGCAGGAGGCCTGCCGGGCCCTGACCACGGCCCCCTTCCTGTCCTCAGATGCTGGTGACATGATCGAGATGCAGGGCTTCGGGCCCAGCCTGCCGGCCTGGCACCGAGAGCCCCTGTGCAGCCAGGGCTCTCCCTGCCTCTCCTGCTCCACCGGCAGCTCCCCATATGCAACTCCCAAGCACTGCACCTGTGTCCCCGACCGGTGAGTGGGCGGGGAGAACACCGCCGCATGGGTGTGTCCACCCCTGTGTATGTGCCAATCTGTGTCACTTGCCTGACATGGTGGGCTCAAGTTGGTCAGACCTGGGTTCGAATTTTGTTTCTGCTACCCATGTGACTTTGGCAAGTTACTGAATCACTATGAGCCTCTACATTTCTGAGCCTGTTTCTGCATTTGTAAAATGGGGCTCACACCACAAGCTTCCTAATGCTCTTGTGAGGACTAAATGAGGTACATAACCCATAGGAGTACCCAGAGCTATGCCTCACAGAGCAGGCGCTCAGTCCTGTGAACCCCTCTTCCCAGTGTGGACACGGGCCCCACCATCAGGGTGTGTGTCTGGGGACACACAGCAGATGCCTAGACACCCGCATGTGCCGGGAATGGCACGGGAAGGGAGGTCATGCCAGGACCGAGTGCCAGCACTGATGCTTTTGCCGGCCCCTTGCCTTCACCTGTTGCTCCTGAGGGCTCTGACGTGACTCTCTCCATTTTACACTTGAGGAAACCAGAATTCACTCACGTGAGGTGAAGCTGGTGCCCAAGGTCCCTGGGTGGTTGGAGGCCAGGCTGGGCCCCCAGCACCTCTACCAGGCTGGCTGGCAGCCACAGGGAGCCCCCGACGTGCTGCTGAGCTATGACCTCTACCCGAACCACCCGGAGTTCCTTACCTGCCCCCCAAGGTCCTTTATTCGCATCCTCCCCCACCAGAGGGGACAGGGTCCTCTGAGCCAGGCTGGTTCCACAGGTTGCCCCTCAGGCTGCTGTGTGAGAGCATGAAGAGGCAGATCGTGTCTCGGGCCTTCTACGGCTGTGAGTGCAGGGCAAGGTCGGGCCTCAGGAGGCGGGGGCGGGGGAGGCGTTGAGGTCACGGCCACCGGGCTCACCAACCCCTCCCCAGGGCTGGCACACTGCCGCCACCTGTCCACGGTGCGGACCCACCTGTCGGCACTGGTGCACCACAACATCATCCCACCCGCCCGGCCCCCCGGGGCCTCAGGGGGCCTCACCAAGGACGTGTGGAGCAAGTACCAGAAGGATGAAAAGGTACACGCTCTGGGGCGCCAGGGCCAGAGGCCGGGCCTGGGGCTGGGGTGGGTGGCAGTGCATGCACAGCAGTCTGCTCTGGGGCAGCTCTCACAGGCCGGCTGGGCGTTCAGGTGAAAGGTGGCAGTGGTCCAGGGTGACAGGCCAGGACCGATGGCCGTAGAGTGGCCTGGGTCCTGGTGGACTCTCAGCTGGGGCTGTGGGTTTCCATGGGAACAGCACTGGTTCATCTGCTTCCATATTACCCTACAACCTTGGGCAAATCTCTGCATCTTTCTGGGCTTCATTTCTGCCATTCGAGAAGGAGGGGATCTCATCCAGCTCTAATGTGAGGCAGGCAGGGTGTGACTGCCGCAAAGCAGGGCTTCCCTGGGCTTCAGCAGAGGGACCGAGTCACTGTTCCCAGCCCCAGCTCTCCGTGGGATGCGGTCACCCAGGGACCGCAGGGACTGTGGGGACTGCACAGTCTGTACCCCCTGGGCCCCTCAGAACTACAAGGAACTGGAGCTGCTGCGGCAAGTTTACTACGGAGGCGTGGAACACGAGATCCGCAAGGACGTCTGGCCCTTTCTGCTTGGCCACTACAAGTTTGGCATGAGCAAGAAGGAGATGGAGCAGGTAGGGAAGCCCCTTCCCATGAGGACGGGGAGGTGGGTAGTCGGGCAAAGGGACCCAAGGAGAGAGGCCTCAGAAGGCTCGGCCTCTTCAAACACGGCACAGGACGATGTTAGCAGAGAAAAATGTCCTTATGGCTAGGCCCAAGCTGGGTTTTTTGTTTTTAATTTTGAGAGAGTGAGAGTGTGCAACATCAATGTGTCGTTCCACTTATGTATGCATTCACTGGTTGATTCTTGTATTGTGCCCCGACCGGGGATGGAACCCACAACCTTTGCACATCAGGATGATGCTCCAACCAACTGAGCTACCTGGCCAGGGCCCCGAGCCTAGTCTTTAGCTGTCCCAGCCCCTGTAGAGGAGGGTCCAGGGCCCCCCTCCCCTATGGTCACGGTGTGGTCCTAGTACAGGTGGACACAGTGGTGGCAGCAAGGTACCAGCGGGTACTGGCGGAGTGGAAGGCCTGTGAGGCGGTGGTGCGGCAGCGGGAGCGGGAGGCTCACCCAGCCACGCTCACCAAGTTCTCCTCGGGCAGCAGCATCGACAGCCACGTGCAGCGCCTCATCCACCGAGATTCCACCATTAGCAATGACGTGAGCCAGACGGGACCCAGGGGTGAGGGGTGGGGCACGAGCTGCCTGCGTTTTGCCCCCAGGAGTCCTGAGCACCAGCCCAACCTCTAGTGCTCACTGGTGCTGGAGCGCTGGGAAGGTGGCTTCATGTGTCTATGTCTCATATTCTTTCACTGCAACATGGGGTGACTGTCGCCTGCCCCCCACCTCTCTGGGTGTTGCAAGAACAAAGCAAGATAGTGTGTTGTGCTCTGTCTTAATGGACTAGCAGGGAAAGGTGAATTTATGGGGACTAGGGAAGTCCCTCCCCATAGAGAGGCCTCAAGGCTAAGGATAGGCAGCCCTGGGTTCTAGTCCCAGGGCCACTGCTGAGAAGCTGAGGGACTTGTCTTCCCACCTCTGGGCCTCAGGGTCCCTTCTCAGCTCTGCTATCCTTTGACGGCACAGATGTCACTGTGCGCTGTCGCTGGAGACCAGGGCAGCACTCAGAGTGGGGCTGTTGTGTCTACTGGCAGGAGCTCCCGGCCCGGCAGCCCGTCCCCGCAGTGAGAGCAGACCGTGCGGAGCCGGCTCAGAGCCCGCCTGGGCCAGGGCCTCACCCCTTCCTGTAGGTGGACGCGTCCCAGACGGCGGCGGCTGGGCCCAACCAGAAGGGACAAGTCGCTGTTTTAAGGACATTGTTTTACTAACTTATGTTTTTTCTTTAAAATTGCCACTTTAAATAATGTGTATTCTTGCTACTTTGCTAAATCCTTCCTAATATTAACAGAAAACTCAAGCTGGAGCAAAATGACCAAGGCACACTCTCCTCCCCACATGCTTCGTCCTTAGTCCCCTCTCGGCAAGCCCGAGCCCTCCCCCGGCTTCGGGTTCCTCCAGTCCCGTCTGCACCAGGGCCCAGCGGAGGCTCTGGTTTGCCTGTGCCCCGCGGCCTTACCTGACACCACGCTTCTTCCCCAAAGTGAAAACTCCTTTTAGCATCCCCTTCCCTGCATAGTCCAAATAGAAACAAAAAAACAAACTGCAAACCAGCCTGCGTGTGTCTCTTCTTTTCCCTGTGACTTGTCCATGGTGATGGCCTGTTTGTGATCAGCAACACACGTTTCCTTTCACGTCTTACCTCTCAGCTGCTCTGAGGCTAATGGAACCGATGAGGCAGTCCCTGCAAAAATCTCCTGCCTGTTCTGAACAGGCAGCACTGAAAGAAAGGAAGAACTTGTTTTCCCTAACACCCCCAGCCTGACGCCCCCCAGGCTGCCTGGCAGCCGCAGTGAGACGCCAGGACGCTCCCCTGAGGGGCAGCCTCGCTGCCTCCCGCGTCTGTAGGATGACACAGCTCACACTGGCCAGGCGGTGCCATCGAGTGTCCACGCCTCGCGCCCCGCCCTCCACACGGCAGCCATGGGAAGCCTGGAGTGTTTCACTTTTCGTCAGGCCCCAGGAAGAAGCCAGAGGAGGGGGCTGGATAGGGCTGATGTCATGTTTGCCTGCAAGCAGATTCCCGGGGGAGGCCGTGCTGGAGGCCATGGGGAGGGAGAAGAGATGTGAAGAGATGGAGTCCTCCATCCTTCTGGGTCACTGTGCCCCCAGGAAGGAGACACCAAGCTGAGGGGAGGTGCTGGTGTGCAGGTGTGAGCCCCGCCCTCTGTTCTCCCCCCCAGGTGTTTATCTCTGTGGATGACCTGGAGCCCCCAAAGCCCCCAGGCACTGAAGATCCCAGAGTGGAGCCCGAGGGGGATGCAGGCGCAGGGCCCCCAGGCACTGCCGCGGTGGAGCAGCAGCAGTCAGTGGAGTTTGATTCTCCGGACTCGGGACTGCCTTCCTCTCGAAACTACTCCGTGGCCTCAGGCATCCAGTCGAGCATAGACGAGGGGCCAAGTGTGGGCTTCGAGGAGGAGGACTGCGGTGGGGAGGAAGGCTCTGATGGGCCAGTACCTTCAGTCCACACTTTCTCTGAGTCCCAAGATTCCAGCCAAGAGAAGGCTTCGGAGGCAGGGGAGGAGCTGGCAGCCGTGTGCACCTCCTCCTACACTGTATGTGGGTGTTCCCCGGGCCCTGTCCTCAGCTGGCCCCAGAGCCACCCTGCCATCCCCAGGCGTGGGCACAGGCTGGAGGGTGGAAGGAGGGATGCCCCAACCATCTTGGAGGGCCCCAAGCCTGTCTCTCAGCATCCCCAAAGGACTGATCTCTCAGCCCCTTGGCATTCTTTGTGGGTGTCACCTCTGGCGCCCAGCTCACCCCGAGGGGCCCCCACTCTTGCAGATAGAACTACTAGACACTGTGGCCTTAAACCTGCACCGAATTGACAAGGACGTGCAGCGATGCGACCGCAACTACTGGTACTTCACCCCCCCCAACCTGGAGCGGCTCCGAGACGTCATGTGCAGGTGCCACTGCAGGGCAGGGCTCAGCGGGCAGCAGGGACCCTGCTCCTCTGGGAGGGGTCAGGTCTGCAGCGCCCTCGTCCCCCCCCCCCCCCGCCCCCACTCTTAGGGTCTTTCAGATCGCAGCTCAGCCACACTTCAGGAAGCCTTGCCTGACTTTGCTCACTCCAGGCCGCCCCCCGCCCACAGCACTGCCTCTCTGCCTGAACCCCTGAGTGCCTTGAGGACAGGGGTGCTGGGTTCTCCACCACTGCACTGCCAGTGCTGCAGGGCCACCCAAAGGCTGGCTTCTAAGTGGCAGCCTGCTTCAGAGGCTATCTCCCAAAGACCCGAGAGGGGAGGGGAGGATGGCACACACCCCGTGACTCTGTCCCTGGCATTTCAGCTACGTGTGGGAGCACCTGGACATGGGCTATGTGCAGGGCATGTGTGATCTGTTGGCACCGCTCCTGGTCATCCTCGATAACGGTGAGCAATGGGGCTCGGGGACAGGGGCGTTTCCAGACGGGGGTGTCGGGGTTGGGCTCCCAAAAGCTGGAGAAGGAAAGAGGGCTGCTAGGTCTGGACAGGTGAGATTAGCAGCCAACCCTGTCCCCTGGGCCACAGGACACCCCCTGTGCAGCGAGGTGTTGGGGTCTCCTGCCCCGTGTCCTCACTGCCGTCTCCCCTCAGATCAGCTGGCCTACAGCTGTTTCAGCCACTTTATGAAGAGGATGAGCCAGAACTTCCCAAGTGGGGGCGCCATGGACACCCACTTCGCTAACATGCGCTCCCTCATCCAGGTGAGGTCTGTTGCGGCTCGTGGGCACTTGACCAGACACTGCTGGGCTTCTCCATCTTCCACAGGGAGGCCAGCGAGCGTTCCAAAAATTATTTTATGTATAAGCTTGATTTCTGTCATTTCAGAAACATTCTTTTTTCTAATTACAGTTGACTTACACAACCAGATGTTAATATGGGCTCCCATTCCTGGCTCTGGTGCTCTGGGCTGGGAGGAGCCCGCTGTGGGGGTGAGGCCCCACCTTTCTGAGGGGGGAGACTTTGTGGCTGAGATGCCCCTTTGGATTCTCTGCCGCTGGCGCCTGTGGGAGCAGGGGCCACCCTTTCACCGTGGCACCCTTCCTGCCTGCCTCAGTGTGGCTTCTTTTGTAAATCCTTAGTAAAAAGATCTCTGTTCAGTTAGTCTTCCATTGGTTACTCGGGTTGATTGTTCTATAACTTAGTTGTAATTCCAGTTCATGTCTGCGAGGAAGTGAGTGTAACTTTCACCTACTTTGTGCCATCTTGGATCCCCCCTGAAATCCAACATTATATTAGTTTCAGGTGTACAGCACAGTGGTTAGACATATTCCTAACTTACGGGATCCCCCCGTAAGTCTGGCACCCACCCGGCACCAAGCAGTTATTACACTATTACCGACTCTATTCCCTGTGCTCTATCCCCGTGACTGTTCCGTAACCACCAGTCTGTACTTCGCAGTCCCTTCACCTTTTCCACCTAGTCCCCCAATTTCCGCCACAGCACAAGGGGCCTGGTGGAGGGCAGGGGCAGCAGGGCGACGTGGGGTCAGTCCTCCCTTTCTCCATTCACACAAGATCCTGGACTCAGAGCTGTTTGAACTGATGCACCAGAACGGAGACTACACCCACTTCTACTTCTGTTACCGCTGGTTCCTGCTGGATTTTAAGAGAGGTAAGAGAAGGGTTGGCTGGTGGGTCTGGGGTCAGGGGCAGTAGGAGATCCTTTTTCCCCTAAGGCAGTGGTTCTGCACCCTAGTTGCACTTTGGAACCACTTGGTGAACTTTCTGGAAACACCAGTGCCCTGCGCTCCACCCAGTGTCAGACTGCCAGTGGAGCTGGCTGCCTAGGCATCGAGATTTTCAAAGCTCCTTAGGTGGATCCAAAATGAGGACAGAGTGGAAAATCACCCTCAGGCAATGTTTTTGGGAACTGTTGTCAAACCAAATCTTCCTTGAACACCAGGGTTTGTAAAAGTAGAGCCGCTCTAGCTGAAGAGAAGGTGGTGTGGAGTCTGCAGGAGCCCAGGTGCAGGGGTCCAGGTGCAGGGGTTACCAAGGAGAAGGACAGGGTCTTGGCCTGAGGCAGGGAGCCCCGCCCCCTCGGACTGGGCTGTCTGTAAGGGAGAGAACCCCAGGACTTTGGCCCCTGGAGCTCTGTCTCCACCTGTGGCCCGTTGGAGGCCTGTGGGCAGCCAGGCTCAGCCTGAGCCCCTGGCTGTGCCCAGAGCTGCCGTATGAAGACGTGTTCGCCGTGTGGGAGGTGATCTGGGCGGCCCGGCACATCTCCTCGGAGCACTTCGTCCTCTTCATCGCCCTGGCCCTGGTGGAGGCCTACCGTGAGATCATCCGTGACAACAACATGGACTTCACCGACATCATCAAGTTCTTCAATGGTAGGAGCTTGTCCAGCCCGTCCTGGCTGCCCCTAGCAGGGGCTTAGGCGCCTCCACTCCTGGCCTGGGCAGGGATGGAGGGGCTCAGAAGTGCCGGCTTCCCCATAGGCAGATGTCAGGAGTCCAGCAGGTGGACAGAGAGTGGGTGGACAGCCCCAGGGCTCCTCCCAGACCACCGCCTTTGCTCCGGCATTCCTACAGTTGTCCGTGTTTTCTGCAGAGCGAGCTGAGCGTCACGATGCCCAGGAGATCCTGCAGATCGCCCGGGACCTTGTCCACAAGGTGCAGATGCTCATAGAGAACAAGTGAGGACCGCCACCCAAGGCAGCAGCCAGCCAGAGCCTGGGTCCTGGGTGCCCTGGGCCCCGCAGGGAGAGGTGTGGGGCAGCACAGCAGAGACCGCCCCGACTCTCAGCCAGCCCTGCCTGCCCAGCTGTGTTTCTAACAAAGTGCTTGTGAGCCTGGGATCTGACTCCGGGCAGTTCTGGCCCTGCAGAGCAAGTCACTTTGCTCTAGTCACTTTGTCACTAGGCCAGGGAGGGAAGGGGCGGCCTCAGGGAGCAGCTGACTTGGGGAATACCTACTCTGTTCCCTTCTCAAACACCTGGAAATAGCCCCACTGCCACCAGCATCCTCGGGCTGGACTGCTCCCATGTCTTCTCCTGGGTCAGCCTGGGGCCCTCCGGAGTGATCAGGGCTGTAGTTGCCTGGGCCCCTCTGGTGAGGGTCACGTGAAGCAAGGGGCCTCTGATGTATTTCTTCTGAGAGTCCCTTTGCAGGCCTAGTGGTTGTGTGCACACCAACCCCAGCTGGGCGTGTTTCCTGGGCTGCCTTCCGGGCCCTCCCATGAGACTGAGGGGTAGTCAGGAGCTGGGCCCTGGGTGGGAGCAGCCCACCTCAGTGGCACTACCGCTGTCTATGGCCTCCTGAGGCGACCCCACGCACTCCCCCAGCCTGTACAGCAGGCCTGTGTGTATCTGTACGATCCCACTCTTGCCGCCTTGTCTTGCTTCACACGTTAGATCCATCCCAGAAAGCTGTGTGGGTGATACTTTGCCAGCTGAATGTGGTTGGAGCACTTCCTCTAGAGAGAAGTCCCAGGGCGATTCTTTTGGGAGGTGATCCTGTCACAGCCTCCTCTCAAAGGTGACCCCCAAACTTGGAGGCAGCCCATTTTCCCGGGCACCTGCTGAGTCCCTGGAGGTTGGAGGGAAGAGGTGCCTGGGTCCCCCTTGTTTGTTGCTGCTGAGAAGCAAGGCTAGCTCTGCCTTCCACAGGCTTCTTGGGATGTTGAGAGGCATATGGACCCAGAGCCCCCCTTGGAAGATTCTCACTCACTGGGGGGCGGGGGCATGTCATGCTGCTTGCTCTGTCATCCCCTCCCCACCCCCAACACATGCAGGCTAGCTAGGCCTTGCCCCAGGGCTGGGGCCTGCCCTTAGTCTGCCCCCAGACTAAGCTCTGGAGACTTCCTACACTTGAGAAACACAAAAAGGGCCCAGAATTCCTGCATCTGGCTGGCACAGCCTCCCCCCACACCCCTGCCCTGGGCACTGCACGGCCTGTTTGGGGGCTAGCCCACCCCATTGTCCACCCGTGTCCGTGAGTCCTTGGCCTCCCCCAAACTCGGTGGCCATTATGTGCCTGCCTTAGTGACTCAGTGGTTTTGTGGGGAACAGAGTCTGTATGTATTTTGGCTCAAAAACTGCTCTTCAGTGTGACAAACCAATAAACACAGCACTTGGCAATGCTTGAGGCTCGGGCTGTTTGTGTGCTGGCACAGCACAGCTATGGCTGTGTGTTGGGGAATCTATAATCTCCGCAACGGAGCGGTAAAGAAGGCCAACCCCACGAGGCAAGGATGGCGAAAGAGAACCAAACTTTCCAAGAGAGAGGGACCCCAGCTATGGGCTGGTGGAGGTGGGGATGATGAACAGACCCCAGGTACGGAGAGCCCCTAGGGCCAGCATTCCTGTCTCAGATTGACTGATGGCCTCTCCAGCCTCTGGATCGGTGTAGGCCCCTGTCCCACCCTTTCCCCAGCCTGCCCTCCTGAACAGCTACAGTGATAAGCTGGAACTTGACTGAGAATCTGCAAAAGCCACCTGGCCCGTCCAGCAAGATGGGAAGGACTCTGCCCTGCTGGCCTTGGCTCTTGCCCACTGAACAGTCTTTGGGAAAGCTGCTTCAGACTGGAGGTTCAGGGGGAAGGAGGGCACCAGGAGGGCTCAAACCTGTTGAGGCGTGGAAAGGGCCAAATTGCAGGTTCCCACCTGCCTTCCCCCGCTCCAGAGGACTGCTGCCCACCGCCCATGGTCCCAGGTAGAGGGCTCCCATTACTAGGACGTGGTCTGGTCTAGAAGGCACCGACTTTCCGAGCATTAGGGCCTGTTGTCAACTCACTCCTAGCTGTCCAGGTGAGAAAACTGTTGACACAGGGAGCTCTGCCCCACCCCCACCCCAAAGCTGATCCTGTTGCCTGGAGAATCAATTTCCTCTGCTGTGACTCCACCTGAAAGCTCACCAAAGGTCCCTGATACATTAGGCTGGAAGTGGCCTGGTTCCTTCACACACTCTCACCCAGAAGTGCTGGCCCCGAATGGCTTTCTGGGACCAGAGGGAATCCCAAAATGATGGGGCAGCTGAAGGTAACGTGTGTGGATAAGGAGGAGCAGGAAGTATGAGGAGGGCACTTCAAACATCATGTTGGGGACCCCTCAAATTCTGGAAGTCTCCCGCTCTCACAGAGCACAGCTGGTAAATGGGTTCTTTCTTGGGATTTTTGCTTCCCAATGCCCCCGCGGTAGGCCCCTCTCTTGCAGGCTGCAGCTGAGCTGGGGCTGGTGGGGTCTGTCCTTTGAGCGCACAGTGGGGAATTTCTGCCTTTTTATGATATAGTGATAGCTCTCAGATGATACTGGGTTGTCACTACCAGGGGCAGTCTTCATCTTTGTCCCCAGTGCCCGGCACAGTGTCTGACACCGAGTGAGCACTCAGGAAATATTAAGGAAATAGTAAGTCTAACGGTTGGCAGGTTGGCCTTCCCTTAATTGAAGGCACACATCTCTCCCCAAAACTACCAGCAGAGGGAGCCAGCATCTCACAAGTGAAAGGGGCTGACAGGATTGTGGGGCAATTGGGAGGGACACTGGGTCTGGTCTTCTGAGCTGGCTTTTCTTCAAAGAATAGAACCCCAAGACATTAGTGGCCATCACTCCCTTCCCCAAGGATGACATCCCCAGATCCACCCCAGGAAGAGAAACTGAGTCAGTTCCCGGACTGGGGCTGGGAGCAGGCCAGGTGTCTGGGTGTTAAGAAAGCAGGATGAGGCGCCCACCTGCTCCATAGCTAGGCCGGGCTGATTGCTCTCTCGCCTCCCCACTTATTCCTGAGCTAGCCTGCCAGAGGGCTGGTTTCCCCAAAACTGGGGAGAGAAGATGTAGTTACAGGAACAAAGGCTTTCCAGAACCCGGTTTGCAGGCCCAGCTTAGAACATGCCTTTGATCTCTTCCTCTTCTTGTTCCTTTCCCTGAAAGGACAGTTTTATGGACTCCCCAGTTAACTTGTCCTAACCTGTCCCCCATGAACATATCCCTTCTGGGGTCTCTCACCTTCTGGTGCACAGACCCTCTACCTTTCCCATTAGAGCCTTCTTGAGTTCAAGATTCCCCAGTTCCACAACAGGCCCCAGGGCAGGAAGGCATAAGCTCAGGGAGAACTCTGCACCAAGTTGAGAGGTCGGATAGGCTACAATGGGTACCAGCCTAGCTATGTGACTATAACAGGTCACATAGCTGTCTCAGACCTGTTTTTCTGCCAGAATGAGGCTGGTTCTGGGTTTATTTATTTCACTGTGTTACAAGATAAAACAAGATAGTGTTCATAAAAGTGGTTTGAGGAAGTACTGCAAAAGCACAGGACGACCAGAACTGTAGTTATCAGAGCTTGGTGCGGATTCAGCACTGGCATCAAACCTAAAGGTCCCTAATCTCTTTCTGTAACTGACCAGCGTGCAAGCTGCTTCAGGACCATCCCCTAGATGCCAATGCGGAAAGTACCTGCAGCCTCTCGCTGGAGGTCTTTCCCTGAAAGTCTCTGCCTTCTTTCTCAGCAAAAGGACCCAGATGTTGCAGGCTGGCAGCTCCATCTCAGGTTTCAGTGCAAGTTTATTTCAATTTTATATTTTATTCCAGGCAAGTGCTTATTACATGGATAGTATTCATGTCTCAATACCTAAAGTCTTGGGAGCATGAACAGCCACTAGAATACAGTTCAATAGTAAAAATACAATATGTACAAAAGTAGGGTTTTTGTAGTTTTGTTTTTTTTTTCCCACACAGCAGATGTATCCAAACACATAAAAATCTCTACAGTCTGGGGTCACTACAATTTATATTTCAGGAAACGGAGACACAGTGACCGAGTCCTCACTGTAAACAAGGGCCACCTCTTTGGGGGTTGGGGGTGGGACCCTGGGATGGGGGAGAAGCAGCTGTTCCTAGAGAGCAGGGGTTCGGTGACCCCGCCGCTCCCTCCAGGCATCCCTGCCCTTCTTTGGCCCCCCAAGGAACCAACCTCCCCCTCTCCCCGAGGTAAAGATTCCCAGCCAGTGAGCCACTCAGAACATCAAAAAGTAAAACACGCATGAGAGGTAAGATGTGTGTGTGCGCGTGCGCACGCCCGCACGCGTGTCCCCCAGGCTGGAAGGGCTGGGGGGAGGGGCGGGGCAGGCGGTCCCACAGGGTGAGGATAGACAAGGTCCTGACAGCTCTCAGAAGGGGGGAGTGCCCAAAGGGCTGGGCGGCAGCTGCCCTCTCGGGCACACAGCGTCACAGCATTCACAAACAAAAACAACAGCAACAAAACCCATTGTCACCAATCTGGACAGAGTCATTCGGCACTAGATTCCGAGCCCCCACTGCTGGGGGCGGAGAGGGACTCGGGCAGCGGGCGGATGAGGTATCTGTGCGGCCCGAGGGGAGACTGGCTGACACACGTTCTAACTCTGGACCGGCCTCAGGACGCAGGGAGGTGAGCAGAGTGGAGAGGCGCTTCCCCTGTCTCTGCCTGTTCCCAGGGCGCCAGGCCTGCCCTCCCTTCTTCCCACTGTCATCTCCGAGAGGAGGCTCCCCAGACCACCAGGGTGGGGATAGGGGCTTGCAGGTGCAGGGAGGCAGCGAGCCTATGAAGTGGGAGGCTACGTGCAACTTCCTCCTGGAGGCCTCTAAGGCCACGGAGAGGCCTTCCCATCCCCCACATTCAGGAGACAAATGGGAGGCCAAGCCTCCTGGAAGGTCCCCAGGACCAAGAAGGAACTGAAAGGCTGTCCTTAGACATAAAATCTACTCAAGACCTCTGCTGGGGCACCTCTTGGGGATCCCGGGCCCCAACACTGACCCCCCCCACCCCCCCGCCTGTCAGTGCAAACTTCACATCCAGGAACACTCTTCCTCCGCCTACACAGCAAGGCCATTGGTGAGTGTCCAGGTGGGGAGCCAAGTGTGCACGGCGTGTGTCTGACACAAGGCCACCTGTAATAAATGCCCACATAGAAAGAGAAGCCAGTCTGCCAAGGCAGAGGCAGGGAAAGCAGCATCTCCTACACGCCTGCTCCCCTGGCCTTGGCCCAGTGAAGGACAGCCCTTTCCTCAGAGGAAGGCAGTGGCACACGGCAGCCCCCTTAGAGAGGGCACACTCAACAAAGCCCACCGGAGAAAGGGGGACATTCATAGTGATGACGCTGGAGCCATAGGAGCTGGGGTAGCTGCGGCAGCCCTGCAAGTGCGGCCTTGCCCACTCTCTACAGGTGCCCAGAGCCTATCTGGGAGAGGGCTGGGTTTGAACTTCCTGATTGTCTCAACAGTGTGGCTTCAGGCTCCTGGAACCCAGACCGGTGGCTGGTCCATGTGTCCCAGGTGGCACCTCAAACACCCATCCTTCGAGGGGATGCAGAGCACTGAGCAGAGGCCTGGGAATCAGGGAAGTGTATGCCTTCTGGAAGCAAAAAGACCCACCGGGGTGGCAACAGGGGTCCAGAGCAACTCAGTCCAGACCCAGGCTGGGAGGTGGGGGTGGGGCAAACGATGGGTTCGGCCAAGCCCTCCCTTTCCCACCCCTCCCTCAGCCTGCCCTCTAGAGGCCAGGAGCCCAGTAGTAAGGGTTGAGAGGCTTAGAAGCTTGGCGGCAGCTTGGGGTTTGGTTTACTGTTGGTAGAGAACCATCTTAAACAGTTTCTGCTGTAAGGAATCACAGTGACTGCAACTGGGTAGGAGAGCCCGGGGCTGGGGCTCCCACCTGTCTGGGCAGGACTCCAGACCAGCCACTTCCTAGGACCTGTCACCTGTACTCAGAGCAGGGCCCACAGTGGCCCCCAACTATCTAGGCCAAGTTGCCTCAGTTCAGCGCCCCCCACTTTCCCCTCCAAAGGCCTGGGAAGGGAAGGCCGAGGCTCCGGAGGGGAGGGCCCGGACTCTTGCCACATCACCAGACAAGCAATAGCAGCAGCACAGGAAGGCGGTGGGGAAGTCGGAGAACAGGACGCCCACATGGAATTGGTTTCAGGGAACAGGACGGGAAGGCAGGACTGGCACCAGGCCAACAGGCAGCATGTCCACCAGAGCATGTCTCACCACTTTATCAAGTCCTCGTGCAGTGGGCTGACCCCTACCCTGTGCCCAGCTCCCTGGGGCGGCCCCTCCCTCCCCTGGCTCAGTCTCTGCACCCCCTTCCCCTAGGAGGCCTGGGAGTGAGGGTGGATGGGATGGGCCTGGCTGGAATGTGTGGAGCTGGTGGGAGAGCATGGGGACAGGTCCCCCTCCATGCCCCCACTGGGGGTCTCTTGCGCGGCCTCACCCTCAAGCCAGCTTGAGCGTGCCGACGGGGAAGGAGGGCATGGTGACCATGGTCACAGGGTTGAGCACTGTCTGGCCCACCAGTTGGGGGTGGTGTACCACCTGAGCCCCGACAGCAGGCTTGGCCATAACGGTGGGGGGGGGGCCCAGCCCGGCGGTGCCATTCACTTGCTGGTGCGAGAGGGTGTGGGCGATGTGGCTCACCGCCACGGGCTGGCTCACTGCTACAGGCTGTGGGTACAGGGGAAGCTGGGAGCCAAGGTGGGCTACGTGGTTAAGGGTGGCAGGGTGCACTGTGATGTGGCCAATGGGGGGTGTGGCAGGTGCCAGCTGCACAGCAGGGCTGGGGGCTGAGGGGGCAATGTGCGCTATGTGCTTGCCGCCCGGCCCCTGGAGAACGTGGTTCACAGTCTGGATGACTGAGGCATGGGTCGTGGCAGTATGGGCGATGACTGTGGAGCCCCCCCCAGCCGCAGCCACCAAGTGGGCCGGAGCAGGCACCAATGTTTGGGCAGGGGCAGCTGGTGGGGGGGCAGGGGCTGGTAGAGGTGTCTTCTGCTGTGGCGGAGGTTGCTGCCCAGGGAGGTGGGCAGGAGACAAAGCCACAGGCTGGGAGTGGGGGTGTGGGTGGGGAGGCAGGGGCGCAGGGGCGGTGCTGGGTGGTGGCTTCGGCAGCTCCACGTGGGGGCGATGGCTCAGCTTAGGTAGGCCCAGACCAGCCTGGTCCTCTTCCATATCCTCGTCTATGTTGTCCTCACCCTCTGTGGGGGGACATGAGGACAGGGATAGGTCAGAAGGGCTTGGGAACAAAAGGCTGGAGAAATAGACGGCCCTGGGGGTCTGGGGAATATTATGGGGCTGGTGTGGGCAACACCTTTTCCAGTGGGCAAAGGCCTGGCCAGGAAGCCTGGCAGTTGAGGGGTGGAGCTCACCAGAGGCAGTAGAGGTGGAAGCCTGGTCGTCCTCGGGCTGGCCCGTCTGCCGGAGTACACGGTCGATCTCTAGCACGTCCATCCACTGGCTCAGCTCGTGTTTGAGCTCTGCCAACCGCTGCTGTGTGGCAATCTTCTCCCGCGCCAGCCGCTCCATCTCATGCTCGTATTCCTTCTCCTTCCTCTTCAGCGACTGGAAAGCAGGGCAAGGAAAAGCAGGACACTTTGAGCAGTGACCTCAGGGCCCACAGTACTTTAGACATCCCCCACAGCTACCCTTGTTCCCAAAGCACCTGGTCCACAAGGGCAGGTCTGCAGTGACCAGGAGACCCAGTGTCCCACGAAATGTGGGCTCTCCAAAAGATGCCATCGAAAGAAAGCACAGATTCAGGCCAGTGGCTCCCCATTCTCCCTATCAACTCTGTCCTAAGGGGCTTTGCTCTCTCTTGCGCCATCCACACTCCTAGCAGTACCTCCCTTCATTCTGTCAACCACAAAAGGTGTAACAGATTTCTCAGACATTGCCCAAGGCCTATACCACCATTCATGGTGCCACGATGTCACACACTAATGCTACGAGCTACCCTCTTTGGAACCCATTCCCCAACCAAATGATGCACTTCTCTCCACCTCATCATTCACTAGTCTCCTTAATGTCAGCACCCTTGAGGATGACCCACGAGCCTTTGTAACCCCCTCCCCGCCGCTCTGCCATTTCATCTCCTTGAAGTGCCTCCATCTGGCCCCCAGCAGCTGCTGGCTCTGCACCTCCTGTCCCGATCTCCTGGGTTACTCCCTGAAGTGCCCACCTATGACACCTCCCCAGAGCCTTTACTTTCACACGGCCCACAGCCTCCAGACTCCCCAGGCTGCTGGACAACCCCAAACCCTGGAATGTGCTCCTCCTTTCACATCAGTCCCTGAGTTGCAGTGATCAATGAGAAATGGCTCTTCAGGTGCTGGACAGCACCACTGGCTTGAGTGAAGGCCCCTGGAGAGGCTTCTGTCTTTCACTGCAGATTCCATGTTGCTTCTGCCCCCAAAGAGCTGATGCCACCCACTTCACTAAGAACACCATGGGGAGCTCCCTTACATACCATGCCATCTCTCCTTCAAGTTCTCACAGGTGACCTGGCCCCTAAGATTGACACCTCACGTCAGGGTTGGATGCCCTGCTTCCCTGACTGTGGCACTGCTCCCCCATTAGCAGGGTCTCCAGCTTCCCTTCACTCGGGGCTTAATAGCAGCTCCAAGATGCCAGTTCACGTCCTATTTCTCAGCTCCATTCCACTCCCAAAGTCTCACCTGTCCTCCATGACTTCCTGACTCTGACACTATTAAAACTACCTAAGTTCCACAGGCCTCCCTGTTGTTGGCTTCTCCTTGGCCCAGGCATGTCATGACTGCTGGGTCAGCCAGATGGCACAGGCAATCCAGCCTGGCTGCCTCCTGGGTCTCTGACCTGCGATGCTCCTGAGCTTCTGGCCTCCAAGGATTTGCCAGTCACAGCTAGGTGCACAGCCCACTGGCTCTTCATATACCAAATTTACCCACTGTCTTAGTGTGACTCTCCCAACCCTGTGCATCCAGCTGCTCCCACATAGACCCTCCCATCTCACCACTCTCGGTCTTACCAGCTCACACTCCAAGACTGCACTCGGGCACACACCTCCTCCACTGTCCTCCCCTACCATGCCCTCACCTGTACATCTTCCTGACCTCCACCACACCCCTGAGCATTTAATGAAACACGTTGTGTTTTATCAGACAATGGCTCATATCACAAAATACTTCACAGGAAGTTCTGCAGCAGCCCCTCCTGACTGTTCACTGCCTGTCTTGGGCACAAAACAGTGCCTTCAATTCCACACACCAGCGAAGCCCAACTTCCCCACATTCCCTTTTACGGGCCCTAACTCCTTACATTTCTGACCTCACCAGTAAGAGGTACCTCAAACCATCAGTGCCTGCAGCGCAAAACCCAGATACGGCCTTGTTCTGTAGTAGTCTGAAACCTGGGAGCTTTACACTTCTGTTGCCAGTCCCAAGCCACACATATACCCTCTATCATCTTTGAGATTAATCTGCTTTTCCCCATATTTCTGCCAGAAACATCCCTCCCCTTACCCACACGTACCTGTCTGGCTTCTCAACCCAAGAGGCCAAGGCTAGACATGACATCAGATGAGGCCACATCAATGACAGGGCCTGTGGTGAGTCAACCTTCACTCCAACCTGGCTGCTGGTGGCTAGGAGTGGCCATCCTGAACTTTGCCTGCTAGCTGAGCAGGTAGGCTTCTGGCTCAGGGTAGGAGAACATCAGTGGCCCAAGCTTCCTCTACTTCCTCCACAAGCCTAGGGGCCCCTGGAAAGTTTTCCCAGGGTTTAACTTTAGTCCACATTGCTTCATTTTAAACCTACTGCCTTTCTAAGACTACCTGGATGTGTGGTTTGATATCTAACTACTTCCCTTTCTATCTCTGTCCACTTAACTGTGGCTTTCTTCAAATCCTTCACCATCCCTAAGTCACTCCAGGTCTGGCTGGGGGCTACAGTCTTCCCACAGCTTACTGCCTGGGCACACACCCAAAGCCCTCAGTCTACACACCCTATGTGGTCTCTCCAGCACTTTCTTTTGACTCCCATCTAGTGCCCTGCAGCACCCCCATCTCTTTATGGCAATCATCCTGACCATCTTTCACTCAAAAAAATACACCCTGCTCCCTCCTGAGGGAGAAACTTTGGTCTCTGTTGTGATGCCTGCCCTCTACTTTGCCTAGATCACCCTGAGACCTTCAGGTCTCAGCTCAAATGCTGTGACCTCAGCTACTTCTTTTAACTCCTCAGAACAAATCCTGCATTCTCTGTCTCTTTTATGCCTTCATGACAATCCTGTTGGTTTATAATCTGTCACAAAACCAAACCTATGAGGACGGAGACCCACACTTTTTAAAAGATTGATTAATTTATTTATTTACAGAAAAGGAGGAAAGGAGGGAGAAAGAGATGGGAGAGAAATAGCAATGTGTGGTTGTCTCTAGTTGCCTCCCAACTTGGGACCTGGCCTGCAACCCAGGCATGAGCCCCTATTAGGAATTGAACCAGCAATCCTTTGGTTCCTAGGCCTGTGCTCAATCCACTGAACCACCCAGCCAAGGCCACACTTTTATTTTCAACTCCATACACCATGCAAGCAAGACTCCCTTCCCTAAGTATGTATCTATAAACAAGAACCTTCCTATTTTTCAGTAATGCTAATATTTATAGATATCAATATTCCTAATATTCCATGATGAAGCTACCCCCCCCCCCCCATTTAGCATTACTGCAATACAGAAGAGGAAACTGGTCTTCACAGAAATGTCAGAGCATTTGACCAGGGATTTGCTCTCAGGCCGTATCATTGAAAGACAAATAACTTACACTAAAGCTCAAATTCTGCAAAAACATCCCAGAATTAACCCTCCAAATACGGTCCTAAGCCCAGGGCCAGGACTCTTCCCCTCCCCCTCCCGGGCCTTTCCACAAGCAGGCTGTGCGACGCCCCGCCCCTCCAGGGACACGCGCGCACCCACGCGGACCAGCTTTGCTGCGTCACTCCCGCGGGCCGCACCCTCCCTCCTCATGCTCAGAAGCCCCGCCTCCCACCCAGTCCCACCAATCAGCAGTCCTAAACCCGCCCCTCCCGGGTGCCCGGAGGTGCGCCAGCCCCGCCCCCCTGCCGCCGGAGGGAGGGCGGGGCGGAAGGGCGAACGTTTCCAGGAGGCCGCTGGCTGGGAGCAGTCGCAAAGCAGTGCCTCCGCCCTTCGACGAGTCAGGCAGCGGTTACCTCAGGGCTGTGACCCCACAATCTAGGCCGGGGTAGGGGTGGCGCCCGCTGCTGGCTCACCGCCCCAGCCCCCAAGCTTCTAAAGCACGCCGACAGGGAGACCCGAGGCTCCTCCGCTCCCGCCCTGCCGGGCAGGGAGCCCTAAGCCCCTCCCACTCCCCCAACGGCTTTCTTCCCACTTGGTTGAAGCTGCTGCAGCCGTGCGTGGCAGCCCGCCCCACCCCCACAGTCTCCTTCCCGGCAAGCGGAACCTTCGGCCGGTTTCCAGGGAAACCGAAACTCGGGCAGTCATGGCAACAACAGTCTTATCTGGCGGGCGCACCCCCACCCACGGTACTGCAGTGTCCAAGAGGGCCCCTGGGAAAGACGGAAGGATAGCGTAATATTTCAAGGTTCGGTGTCGTAGTGTCTATTTGTCACCATATCAGACCGCCGCAATTCTTCAACTCCAGGTTAACAGGTCGTGGCACCTAAATGAACTGGAGGGATCTTAACCCTTCTGGGGTGAAAGTGGGGGCTTCAAACGGCGCGCTGCCAAGTGGAAAGAGCCACGCCCAGGAGACCCCACCTACCCACCAGCCTCGGCTGATCTGGTTTCCACCCCGGGGCGGGGTGGAGGCGCAGGGCAGCTCCACGCCCTTTCACCCGTAGTGCACTAACAGCGCCTGGCGACAGAACAGGGACAGGCACCGGGTTTGACAACAGAGCTGCTGGGCCCTGCAGTTGGCAGGGATCCTTGGAGCCACCCCGCGGGGGAGGGTAGCCGAGAGAAGCTCCGCCACTGCCCTCCCTGCGCAGGCGTTTTCCCGCCCGTTCTCCCGCCCCTTGCCGGGCGGGGAGCCCCGCTGACGTCAGCCGGCCATGTGCTCAGCGTCCGCGTGGAGGCGGGCGGGGCCGCGGCGAGGGGCGGAGGGCAGAGGGAGTGGGGAGGAAGCTGGCTCCGCGCTGCGGCCGTCGCCACCGCCTGCCTCCTTTCAGCTAGGCCTCCCCCATACCTGGATGTACCGCAGCGCGGTCCTCAGCACACTCAGATTCGATGTTTTCTTGTCGTCCACGTTGGGGATATTGCGCTTCAGGGTCTCAAAGCATTCCTTCAGATGGGCCCTCCTGAGGAGAGGAGGTCGAGCATCGCTGGTCATCCAGCGCCAGGGGGAAGGGTAGGGGGGCGGTGGGGGAGGGGCAGGAAGGCCCAAGGAGAGCTTAGGGGACCAAGGGTAGAACCAGAACACGCGCACGCGCGCGCACACACACCTGTTCTTCTCCAGTTTGTTGTGGACTTCTCTGGTTCCAATCCTGCAACCCAGACAGACAAGGAGGCTCAAGGCCAGATTAGGCGGCTTTCCTGCCCCCCTCCCCCACCCCCCAAGTGCCACAGGCTTTTTGTTTCTGACTTTGTAAAAGCAGCAAAGGGAGTTCGCTGGTGCCCTGGTGCGTTCACCCCCCGGGAGGGCACATGTACCCTCATAATTTACAAGCTCTTTAATCCTCCATTCCACCTCTCCACCTCTAAGACAGAAGGGCTCAAACGACTCAGAAGAAATAACCAGCAGACCCCAGCCTTCTCAACCAAGAGGCCCATAATGCCACACTTTTCCCAAAGGCCTACAAATGCTAACAGCCCCAGCCTTGGAGAGGATTAGAGAACACAGAAGCCTGAGAACAGAGGGCAATAGCCATTCTCCACTCCTGGGGTGGGAATGGGCATGGGCACACTGAGAATGTCCAAACAAAGGAGGGTGCTTTTGGGTTGGAGAGGCAGAGAGGGCACGATTCCAAAGAGCTAGTTCGGGAGAGTACTTCCTCTTGCACAAACAGCCCAGGGGGTGGGCAGTTCTCTCCATCCCACCAGCCTCAACTCTGCCACACCTCACTCACCCCCCAGGCCTCTTCTTCTGTTCGCTGGATTTGACTTCTTCAGCTGATGCCAACTTCAGGGTCCCAAGAGTGGGTGGGGGTGGCTGCTGGGAAGCCAGCTGGGGCTGGACTCCAGGGTGTGGTGCTATGGTCAGGATTGGTGTAGGGAGGGGCTGCAACGGCTTGGGGCTGCTGGTGGGCTTGGAGTCTGGCAGTAGGGGAGTAGGGGTGGGCACCTGTGGCCTGGTGGGCAGGGGAACAGACTCCTTGATGCTGAGTCCAGGGGTGCTAACCAGGGCTGGCTGGCGAGGCACCAGGGGCAGAGGCTGGGCTGCAGGGGGCAGTGGTGGGGGTGGGGGCAGAGTCTGAGGTGAGTTGGTCACTACTGGAATAGGAATGACGGTCAGTGGGGTTGGGGTGGCAAGTGATGGTGGGGGTGCTGGTGGGGGTGCTGGTGGCGACAGAGGCAGGGGTGGTGCCTCAATGCGGGGTTCCTCCACAGGCAGGGCATGGGCCAGCCTGGCCAGACTGCTGGCCTTCTTCTGCTCCTGCTCCCGCTCCAAGCGAAGCCGCTCCTGCTCCTCTACACAGAGAGAACACAAAGGACGTCATAGCAGGGCCAAGATCCCTGGGCCCCAGCTTCACCTGTCATCTGACCATAACCCATCCTCTTACCTTGTCCAGTCAGGGCTCAGTGACACCTCTGCTCAGACTGAGATACCACAAATACCCACCCACACCCAGCTAGGCTCTGGGCTAAGTGCTGGAGGCACAGCAGTAAACAATGGAAAGGAACCCAGTCCCTGTCTTTGGGGAGCTTAAGGCCTGAAGGGCAGGGGGAGAGACAAGTAACGGACCGACCACCCCACAGCAGCACAAACTAGAAAGCTAGAAGACAGGCATACGTTTTAATAGAGGTTGAGCCAGTCAAAGAGCTCGGGCAACCTTGCACCATTAGTCTAGCATCTCTGCTGAAAGAAACCCCTGCAGGAAAGGGAGTCCTGCTCAGCAGCTGGCCAAGAACAGGGGAAGGAAGTGGCCTCTCCTGTTCCAGAGACCCCACTCTACTGCCACCCTGCCCAATTTGGGGGCCCCACCATTCTGCTTCCCTGACTAGAGGACTGGGCCAGGACCCTGGGGAGCGGGAGCGGGTGCAGCCCCCAGGCCAGGGAGCAGCTGGTCAGCTTGCCCTCCCTCTTGCCCTGGATTCGCCACACTGCTGACTAACCCAGCTGACAGCATGGACACGCCCCAAGCAGGCCACCCCACAAGGGATGGGGCTGAGGGTGAGGTTGCTCAACTGCCCCCCTCAGCAGGAGGGCATCAACCCCCACCAGTCTGCTGCGCTCAGGGGCCCCAAGAAAACTGGATAACTCAAGGCCCTTTGGCCAATCAACAACTTGAGTAAGCCAGGCCTGTTCGGAACCCCTCCCTCCTGCAGAGAATAAGCAAAGGAGGAAGTAGAGGGGGACATGTGGACATGCTCTGAGAGGGGAAGCACTCAGTGGTTTCCCAGCAGCCAGAGCTCAGGGACTGGACAGGTCAGCACTGGCCTCTTCCCCTCTTCCATATCTCCCCTGCCCTTCAGGAAGGGGGGCTGCCAGGCCAGAGCAGGCCTACTCTAGTAAGGGGAGGCCTGGCTCTCCCAGGCCTTTCCAGTCAGTACTGACTTAGGTTACAGCCCCAAAGTAAACCAGCTCTCCACTCCAGCTTCCCACAGAATACACTGGGAAGGAACTTGCTGAGTTCCAGCTATGGAGCCCTTCTCAGGCCCAGCCTTGGACATCCCTAGTCTGCTTCCTTTCCCCCTCAGAATCTGCCCCCTCTCTACCTTCAAGACAAGGCTCTGGAACTCAGAGCCCACCACAGTCCCCACCTCCATTCCTTTGAGCCAGAACCCAAACTTCACTGGCCTTGGGTCAAGCGTTCCACTCTCCCATAAGCAGGGGAAGGGACAGGACCCCAAACCCCAAGAACTGGTGCCCAGGGGACTCAGAATGAAGGCAAATCTCATATTCCCATATTTTAAAGCAACTCCAAAGCTCACCCAGGAGATGGCAACCTTCTCACCTACCCTTTGTCTTCCTATTCTTTCTCTCACAGGTGTCAAAAGAACCCAGGTGAAAGGCCAAAGTCTATCACACCTGGATGAGCATGAAAAACTGGTGGTGAAGAACAGGTGGCCCAAGTCAGATCCAGCCCACCAAAGCTTCCTGCCTGCTCCCTGGCAGCTCTGACTCAATCCCAGCCCAGCAGCTACCCTCTCCCAGTGCCCCGCAGAGGGGAAGACTAAGTGGGGGAAGCAAGCTGGCAGTCCCTCAGGAGCATATGGGTTTAGGCTCTTTAAAATAATGGTCTGCTGCACCCATGGTACACTCCCTTCTAACTCCCACTTATGCACAAACATACTCTGGTACCTCCCCTGGGCTCTGTCCCACCCCTGAGCCCTACCCCCACCCCAGGGAATTTAGCATGACCCCTCTGGAGTGATCCGGGGGCCACAGTATAGAGTATTAGGGATTGTGCTTCCTTCAGTCATCCCCCATCACTCTGGCCCAGGGACTCAGCAGGCACAGGGCTGGGGCCTGAGACATGTACACCTGATAGCCCCAAATTTTCAGGGGCATTCTCCCCTTCTGCATGCTAACAGGGAGCTTGGCACATAAGGCAGCCCAGGGTGCACCTTAGGTCAGAAGCCTGTGGACACTTGGCCAGCTCTCCCTGATCAAGGCAGAAGAGGGTCCCAAAGGAGCCACTTCCACGAATGCTGAAAATGACCAGAAACTCCGGCTGACCACCAGGATGGCCTTGCCCTTCCCTCTCTGCTCTCACAGGTACAGACATCCTCAGGTTCACCACTCGAGTAAATTGACTGCTCTAGGTTAAATGGGGGCAGGCACAAGAGGCTCCCTGTTCAGAGCTGCTCATCAGGTACATAACCTGGGACAGCAGTTCTGGTCAGCAGGTTCCCACTCTTCCCCTTCCCAGTCGGAGGACATACCCTCAAGAAGGAGAAAAAAAAATTCTGGAGATTGAAATCCCATGGCCAGATGTAGCCATCTATACTCAAGTTCTTAGTGTGTATCTGCCTTTCCAGCATCCATCTATCCCTAAGAACCCTGCCCCACCAACAGGCTGTGATAGGCCTCAACGCAGCTCCCTGCCCCTGGTTCTCACCACCTGGGGGAGAGGGCAGGGCTCTGCAACTTTGTAGGAGAGAACCATTCTCAGGTTCCTTCACCGTATTGCACCTATCATCCCTGTCCTTCTTATTTTGGCAAAGGGCAGACACATATCAGGGAGGGGGGTGGTCTTCTTTTCCCCATATGGCCAACTAGACTGCAGGTAAAATAAGGTTTAAATGTTTCCCTAGGACAAGGTTAGGGTCGATCATGTTCACCTCTAGCACAGTGCCTGGTACGCAATGGGGACAAAATAGGTATTCTTGAATTGCATTGTGCTGATGATGGCAGCAGGTGACTCAGTCTCTCCAAAATCTTGTGCACATTCCTCCCCCTGCCAGTGGGCACGTAGGAGTTCTTGGTGACTACCAGCACTATTCACCTCCAGACCCAGCTCTGGACCCCCGAAGACAAGGGGGAGGGGCAGTGTGTTGAGGTCTCAGCCCATCAATTTCGAGAAACCCAAGCATCTTGGTCTCACATTTTTCCAGCGAGGGGTTTCTGAGCGACCTTGAGAGGCCAGTCGACCCAACTAGGTCAGCGGACCGCCGCTCCCCTGCTCTTGGCATGCTGCTACTCCCCCCCACCGGGCCGCAGCGGCTGCAGGCGCGCGTGCCCGCGAACATGCACACATAACACACACTACTACCTCCTGCATGACTCATCACTGAAGCAACAATAGGCAGAGAGAAAGGAAAGGAGGGCGAAGCGAAATCTCTACCACAACCAACCTGGCTGAAGGGTTGGGAGGGGGAGGTTTGGAGAGGGCAGGAGTCCCCGGATACTGCCCGCGCGCGCGCGCACACACACACACACACACACACACGCGCGCGCGCGCGCGGACTGATACAGGCCTGAGGCCTTGGCAGCCGTCCGGAAAACGGAGGTCTTTATCCCAGTCCCTATTTCTGTAGCACCCTAAAGCTGAGGACCATAAACAAGGGCGCGTGGGCATACGAAGCATCCGAAACCTTTCCTCTCATCCCTGTCGAGGGAGCTGCTAAGTTTGCCCCCTCTTAGCTGGGCTCATTCCACAATGTGGTCGGGGATTTTGCCAGGAGGTTCTCGTGAGAACGTTTTGGGGTCAGTGGGAATATGTGAGCTCTAGGTGTCCTGTTTCTCCGCAATTCTAAGGATTTCCCTCTCCCCATGATCAAAAACAGGAGCTTGAGGCGAGAATTAACAGGTGAGCTCGGCTTCTCCTTCACAGGGTAAAGGCTCGCCCGGAGAGATGCCCAGCGCCCAAAGCCAGAGCTCAACCGGGCGCCAGGACCCTGGCCAGCCCCGCCCAGGCCCCGCCCCGACTGAGCGCGAGGCAGCAAGAAGGGGCCGGGCCCAGCCGTCCCTAGCGGGAGTGTCCCCAGTGCACGTGGTCGGGGGCGGGGTTCGTCCACGTCACCACCCGGTGTAACCAACGGGCTTGGTACGCACACACACGCAACATTCCAGCCGAGAGCGGGTATGGAACGCGAAGACAAGCCACATTCCACATCGGCTAAAGTGGGGCGCAGAAAGGGGGGGACCAGGGACTGCCCTCAGCGACCTGAAAGCCGTTTTTCAAACACCCAATCAGCCCGCTCTTACCCAAACCCCTGACGCGCGACCTAGCCCAAGCTCTGGGAGGCGGGGTCAGGCGGGGCTGGCCAGGATCATAAGACACGCGATGTCATTTCATTCTGCAAAGGCCGCCTCCGCCCCAAGTGGCGCGTAGATCTGCCGGGAGCACCCCCCGCACCCTCCCATAGGGCCAGGGAAACCGAGGAGTTGCTCCGCCTAGAGTAATTCCTAGCCCCCACTCCGTTACACACACGCCCACTCGTGTGCACTCTACACTCGCCCGTGTACACATCCGTTCATCCGCTCTCCTCGAGGCTCCTATCACACATCTCCCGTGCACACACGCACGCACACGCGGGTCTGCCACCCCTACGCAACACCACTGCTCACCCCACCCCACCCCCGGCTCACATCTTCAGAGCTACCGGGGGCACCGCTGACCCATGCGAAAGAAGCCCCCACGAAAGGTGCACAAGGGGTGGCAGGCAGCTGCGGTGGCGCTCACAGGAGCCGGGTCCTTCGCTGCATGTTAATGAAGTCATTAATTAATTTTACTGCCCACAACACTCCTCCCTCCCCGGGCGGCGGCTCTTGCGCCAAGCCTTGCGCTACCCGGTTTCGCGGGCCGCCCGGGAGGAGATCCAGCCTGCGGTTTTGGCGTGGGTTTGGGGACTGGGGTCGTTCGCCTCCCCTTTTCCCGTGCCCCAGGGGCCCAGCCCGACCGCTCACCACGTGCTCTCTGTTGTTGCTGCGCTTGCCATTCCAGGAAGCGGGCCGCCTCCAGTAGCGTCTCTATGCTCATCGCGCCGAGAGCTGCCGGGGGCGCGCCGGGGCCAAGACTGCGGCCCGTGAGCCAGGCACCGGACAGGCTGGCGGACTGGCAGGAGGGAGGGATCACCTCCGGGGGGCGACAGGGCTGGGCGGCGCAGCGCACTCCGCAGGGAAGAACGGGGGAGCACCGGGGGAAAAAATCAATGTCTTCCAAAATTTTGCAAAATGTAATTTGCAAATTTAAAATAATTTGATGCAAAAAAAAAAAGGCGGCACTACCTCCCTTCTTCCCCTCCCTCTCTTCCTTCCTTCTAGTGCCTCCCGCCCCGCGGCCCCCAGGAGTCCCGCCGACAAGAAAAGGCTTTGCAACAAGATGGCGAGGAGGCACCGACACACACAACAAGGGAAGGAGCCGCGCTGCCCCCGGCCGCCGCCCCCGCTACTACACCGGGGCCGCAGCCAAAGCCCGGACCGGAGCCCCCACCCACAGGGCCGCGGCGTCTCACGGAAGGAGGGGCGGGGTCGGGAGCAAGCTGTCCCCGCCCACTACTTGTACGGCGCGAGCACACGTGGTCTGGGTAGGGGTGGGAGAGGCTCGAGCCTGGTTCGCGCCCTTCATTTCCGTTTTCCCGCCTCGCCCCGCCCCGATTGCATCTCACAAGTTGAGCAAAGGTTGTGTGTTTGGGTCATTCACAACGAGATTTGCCCTGCCGGAGGGAAGGGAGGACGGAAAAGTCAACACTTAAGTTAGCTCAAACAAGGACATTCTTGGTTAGGGAAACACTGGGATGGTAGGTACCAGCCGGATCCCTGAGTCTCCTCTCACTACCCACACGTGACCTAATTCCTGCAACCACCCGGCTGTCGCAATTCCTCTGGGATCCACCCCTGGGCGGGGCTGACAGCAAGAGGTCGACAGAGAACTGGCGGAGGGAGCGGAGTGGCGATCCGACTCCACATTTTGTCTCCATTCCTCCCCCCGCAGTACGTTAGCATCCTATTAGTCGACGTCACCGGGCCCTGGGCCAATGGGCAGGCAGGACAACACGGCATGGAGCAGCTCCACATGGACACCCCGGGCCGCCAGCCTTCTGTTTAAAGGGCCAGTGTTTAGTAGGGTCACATTCGTGGGCTGCTGTTTGAGCGAAGGGTGGGACACCGAGAGGGAATTTCCGCAGTTGTGCTCTGGCTTGATTTTTCAACACCCTTTCTTTAAACAAAGTCTCTCTTTCCTCCCCCTAAACTCTTGTCTTTGTCCACTCGTGTCTGATGTGAGTACAGGTTCGCAGTGTGCCACCCCGGGGCCACCTTTTACTCGGGGACCCGGGAGGGGCGGTTGAGAGGTAGCCACAGCCCAGACTAAGGGGGCGTGGCCCAAATCGGGAACAACAACGTGGAGGGCGGAAGCCCTGCCCTCAGGGTGGTTAGAAGAGAGGCAGCAGGCGGGCCCCTGGGACCGGGCCTCTTCGCCAGACTTCAACAACGCTCGCTCGGAGGGCAGTGGGACCCCTGGCTGACGTTCCTCACCGCCGCTTCTGGCACTAGTGTTTGGGGGCGCATGGGGGAGCATTCAGAAAGTTAGACCTTTTAGATCGGCTTGCTCAAGTCCTCCTTTTGCAGATAAGGAAACAAGTCCAGAGACTAGAAAGGACTTGCCTAGGATTACTCAGTATTTTAGTTGCTCCGTAGGGCGGAGCACTTATTTATTCGTGACCCCACGGATGCCTTTTTAGACAGTTCTAGGACATGGTCCCCAATTAGGAAAAAGGTCCTGGAGGAATATTAAATTGCTCACACGGGAAGGAGTTGTGATTGCAACCACCAAAATCTTTAACTGAAACCCTGTTCTGCTTTGGTGGAAGCTGTAGAAACCCCTGGTAGTTTGCAGTGACACACAGGTTTGCTGAAGGCGTACTTGGCGCACCCTGATGTATGTTCAGGTTGGTTGTCCCAATGCCACTGCGCCCGGGGTCCCCTCGGTCCCGGCGTAAGATTCCTTTCCTAGCTAACCAGTAGAGTGGGACACAACCATTTGAGTTCATGGAAAGCAAACCTTTATGAGGAGGGCTTAGTGGCTGACCACCCGGCTAATCCATCCCATCCCCACTGTGCCTTGGAGGGGTAGGTTCCTATTTTGGGGACTAGAGTGTTAAGACTATTGAAAGCTGGTACAGATGCATTCTTGGCTTTGCACCTTACCTTTGAGGGCACAGTACATCCTAGGGAAAGGAAATCTGTGGAGATCCTGGAAATCAAGAACCTAGTGAACAGGAGTAAGGGGGCTGTTTGCCAGCACTAGTCTACAAAGGACCCTGACCTTTACTGTTAATGCCCCAGCATGTGCACCTGAGCATAGAGAGGCCATTACACACAAAAAATGCCTGGGTGTCACTGATTTTATGATAAAGCTGGAAGGCAACAGGGGATTAGAGAACAGCCCAGTTCTTCTCGATGGGATAGATAAATGCCCTTTTCCTGGGAGGGCTAGATCTGTACTGGTTTTGACCTTGCTTCCTCTAGCAGGAGTGTCCAACCTTTTGGCATCTCTGGGCCACATTGGAAGAATTGTCTTGGGCCGCACATTACTTTATGATGCATAGTCACGCATTAAAAAAAAACCCCTCATGTTTTAAGTAAACTTAAAATTTTACATTGGGCCACATTCTTAGACATCCTGAGCCACAGGTTGGACACCCCTGCTGGTCTAAGTGTCTGCAACCTGCTACCAGTGTGGTTGGGCTTGGCCGACCTCACAACCAAAGAAAATGGCAAATTTAAATGCCCTATATGTGTGTGTGTGGTAGGGGGAGGGTAAACAGTATATATAATGTATATATAATAGTGGCCTGAAATAATGTTGACAAAGTTCTCATTTTGTTTGGGGTTGGCACTGAATCATTCTGCCAGTGGCCCATGATGCTCAGGGAACCACAATGAGCATACTCTTCTGCCTTCAAGTAGTCATGGTACACATACAGCTCTTGAAATCTCATCTAGAGGCTAAAGTCCAATTCTCCTGACTCTTCTTGTCGGGGACCAGCTCCATCATATTAAAGAAGGTACCATTTTGAAAAGTAATATTCTAAAGACACCTTTTCCTTCAGGGATGCGGAAGAAAATAAAAGTGGAGTGAAGAGATTCAAATGCCAGCCTCTCCCTTGCCCCCAATACCCCATCTGCTCTAGAGCTTAGTGGAGATACTTGCTATTTAAAACAAACAGTCTTACTGGCTTCACATGATCATCTGTTTATTTGGGTCATGTGGGGACAGCAGCCAGGGGATGTTAGGCAAAAGCAAGGGTTTAGAAAGGAGGTTTTTTTCTGGCCCTGTTGTTGCCTACAGAAGCTTGAAAATGGTCAAACAGAAATTTTCATCTACTACAGTCCCTGCACTTGGAGAATGGACAGATATCTCTGTAAAGGGGATGGGTGGGGAATAAAAGGAGAAGGCAATGAACAGAAGGGCCGTTCAACATTTTAGCCTCAGCTTCCTGTTCCAAGGGGGTGGAACGAGGATAGAAGCTGCCAATTGTATTCATTCAAGGGAAAGGGAAAAGAAATCCTTTCGATGTTTTAGCAGAAAGGTTAGCACATTTTGGGCATGACCCAAAGCCCAGCCATTTCCAAAAAGTTGTTCTCAAGTTTCTTTATGGCTTCTAGGTGCTTAGTACCTTTGGTGTAGGAAGACACCTCAGCCATCCATCACTGTGTGCTTTCTCATGAGATTTCTATTTTTAATCTTCCTCCTCCAGGCTTGTACACCCCAATGCCCAGATTAAGTCCCTCAGTTTTTTAATATGCGTTCCCTAATGGACTGTCTTCCACCTCCTATTCACCCCAACAAAGTTTAACATACACACACAACTCCAAGAGCTATGAAAATCAGTTTCCTGACCCCTACAAAGCATAAGTAATGAGATAGGAGAAAGGTGTGATGCCAAAAGTACAGGTATTCACATTAGATAACACAGATGTCCTCCCATCCAAGAGCTAACCAAGCCCTATCCTGCTTAGCTTCTGAGATCAGGTGCAATCAGGGTGGTATGGCCATCGACAGGTCCCAGAGATGTCCTAACACTCAAGGCCTGACCTCTCAAATTCTGCACGTGGCTTTAGAGGGCTTTTCACTTACCATAATTAAAACAAAACCAGGAGAAAATCAGCTATAAGATGTAGAGGAAGGAACAGAAACTAGTACACCCAGGGATACACCAAACAACATTAATTTAACAAATATTTACTGTGTGCCTAACATGTGCCAGGCACTGGGCTGGGTGTCCTTGTAGCCAAAGCCAGGTGACCCTTTGGTAGGCCAGAGTGGGGTAAAAGGTCAGAGAGCAGAAATCTACTCCATATAATACTTGAAAAAAGATTAGCTTTGCTCTCTACCACCATGCTGGATGTAGCACAAGGTTACAGGACTACACAAAGACTGTTAAGAGTACTGAGATACTCATTTTAGAAGGTTAGGTTCCCAGGTAATCATATTTTTGTAAGAAGGGATAAGAAAAAGTTAAGTGGATTTAAGGTTGGGTTAGCCAACTGAACCTGGTTCCTGATAAGCCTACCTTGAAAGATGAGCAAGATTTTGAATTATTTTGATAGAGGTGTATCCTATGGGGCACTCATTCACTCATCGGTGAAGCGGGCTCTGCAGAGCTGGCAGTTTCCATCTAAGTCTTTACCTACCTTCCTCTACCTGGTGAGTTGTCAAAGGACCTCTCCTAAACCTATAGAACAGGTACAATCAAGTTCCACCTTCCCATTCAGGTACTTTTCCCTCTTCACTGCCTCACATGTTGTCACAGCTGGAAGAGTGAGATCACTCAGTCCAAACTTCCAAGACAAGCCTCTCATCCAAGGTCACAAAGCTTAGTGTCAGCTGGGATGAGAAGTGGCCTGGTTCTCCTTTGATTGTGTGAACAGCCCAGCCAGGGTCAGTGAACTCAGAGTCCTCGAAGACCTCACAGAAATAAGTGATGACAGGGAGATAACCTCTCCCTTCCTGGCTAAAGATAAGAATGCTCATTAACTTTGCTTAGTGGTGTTCAATAAACAAGCTTAGCAGCTGAGTGAGCAGACAAAACAGAGGACTCGGAAGAAACTATACTGCCGCAGGCCACTCTGAGGAGTTAAGTACTTCTAACTGGGCTGAGGTAGACTGACAGAGATTCTTCTCTTCTCCTGGAGCTGGCCTAAAAAGGTGACTGGGGGAAGGGGCAGATTTTTATCCAGGCAACCGCCCTGGGTGTGGACACTGAGTAATAAGGAAAGAAACGCAGTTCAAAAGCAAAAAGGGAGGAGTCACGCACTATGAGCTTTTCTGAGAAACCAAAGAGGCTAGCCACACTATGTAGCTCGAGATATGGTGGCTGTGGATGACTTAGGAAGGAGGAAGATGATAAAGGTGGAAAGGCACAAGGAGAAGGATGAGGGTTTCACTTACTCCTCTGGGGGCAGGAGCGGGGAGAATATGGCTTTAGAGTAAATTATTTCAGGTTATGGGAGTGAGACTGGGCAGTTAGCAGAGAGGTAAAGTCTTACAATGTGAGTCAAGAGCCAGCTGGATCAGTGCAGGTGGGAGAATGTTGACGAAAGGGAAGGCCCCTCCCAGGTCATAGGGGATGGAATACAATCAGCTCCACAGAAAGGCCTATGGTCTATACTATTGCCCCAGCAATCCCAAGTTCATACCTAAAAGCAAGGCTGCAGGAACAAGTCTTTAAAACCCAAGTGATCAGCTACCTGCGCTGTAACTGATACCCTCTCAGAAGACTATGTAAGGCCAGGAGCAGTGGCTGGTCATGGAACTGCCCAGATCCAGGGCCTGCAACCAGAATTCTTACTAAGGCCCCAAGGTCTATTGAGAGAGTATACATTGGGCAGTGCTGGGAATACTCAGGACATTCCAGGAGCAACACAACAGCCTGAGCCTCTCGTCCCACCACTTCCAGGCTGGGGGCTGGGATGGTACATACCTCCCTGCTCAAGTCCCTGTTCCCATCACAGATGCCTCAGATGGTGGTGCTAGAGATTATCAGTCATCTCTCTAATGCGTTCCTCTGTGGTAACTTGGAACCATTTATTAAACAAAGGTCCTTAAACCTCATACCATAAACCAACATCCATTCAAGTGTTAAATGTAAAAAATAATGCCAAAAAAGACCATAATAATATATAGGCAGATATTTTTTCTGCTCCAAGGGTGGCGAAGGAGGTGTCTACCCATGAAGGCAAATGAAGAAAATGTAAAGGAACAGCCTGACAAATTTGATTACATAAACCCTCTAAAAATTCCCTAACTGTAAAAACAAAACAAAATCACCATAAATAAAGGAACAGATAAATGATAAAATAATGGAAAATATTGGCAAGATACGCCTTTGCAATTCAGTAACAGAAAGAACACCTGCATATAAAAATGAACACAAATATAATTTAAAATTTGTAAAACAATATATGAAATAATACAGGGTCCAGCAGAAGTAACGCCTGCTTGAGTGTGGTTAGTAGGGTAATAATATGGGTGTAATAATTTATAGTTTTAATTTGAACATTTCACCAAACATGTCATATGGTGTGCTTGAGTGTGATATTGTTGTTACAGAACTACATGCTTATGTAATTAAGAGATTTTGTAATAAGAGATTTTGTAATTAAAAGGGGCGTTATTTGTACCAGACCCTGTATATACAACAAGATATGTTGTATAACATATTTCAATGTTGTACATATAAATACATGAAAATGTTTGACCTTGTCAATATCACAATAAATTGATAAAGGATTTCTAAAAATCAGACTTCTCATGCTACCAAAGGTATGGTAAAAACAGGCACCTGTGGAAGTGTAAACTAGCCCGAAGGTTTTAGCAGGCAAACTGGTAATATACATAAAGAACCTTTAAAAGAGTCATATCCTCTGCTTCAGTGACTCTTATGTAAGTTTACACTCAACCAATAACAAATTATTTTTATGGAGATACTCAATAAAGCATTATTTACAACAGTGAAAACCAGCAAACTTAAATTTCCAACAAAGCACAACTGGGTTAGTGAAGTAATGCTCACAATATGGCACGTGAAAAAAAAGAGGGTTGTTAATATACCAAAATATTAACAATGGTTGTGTCTGGGCAGTGTGACTACCGGTAATTTTTATTTTCACAAGTTTTCTGATACAGAATAATTTTATAATCAGAAAAAGGTTATCATATATTGCTAAATGAAAAAGATTAGGAACAGTAATACACAGTATGATCCCACATTTGCTGTTTAAAATGATATATGCATATAAAAATACTAAGATAGGGACTTCCAGCCAAGATGGAGGCATAAGTAGATACACTTTGCCTCTTCACACAACCCAAAGGACAACAAATTTAAAAACAAAAAACGGTAACTGCCAGAAAACCGAACTGTATGCAAGTCACAATCAAGGAGTTAAAGAAAAAATATTCATCCAGACTGCTACACTGAGACAAGGACACATGGCCAAAATGAAAGAAGAGATCAAAACTCCAGAAAAACAGCTAAGTGATGATGAGGTAGCCAACCTATTGGATGCAGAGTTCAAAACACTGGTAATCAGGATGCTCACAGAAATGGTTGAGTATGGTCACAAAATAGAGGAAAAAGTGAAATAAATAATAATATACAGAGAACCAACAGTGAAGGGAAGGAAACTGGGACTCAAATAAACGGTTTGGAACGAAAGAAAGAAATAAACATTAAACTGAAACAGAATGAAAAATAAGAATTCAAAAAAATGAGGAGAGGCTTAGGAACCTACGGGACAACTTTAAATGTTCCAACATCTGGCATAGGGGTGCCAGGAGAAGAGGAAGAGCAAGAAACTGAAAACATTTTTGAAAAAATAATGAAGGAGAACTTCCCCAATCTGGTGAAGGAAATAAACTTCCAGGAAGTCCAGGAAGCTCAGAGAGTCCCCGAGAAGTTGGACCCAAAGAAGCACACACCAAAGCACATCATAATTACATTACCCAAGATTAAAGAGAAGGAGAGAATCTTAAAAGCAGCAAGAGAAAAGGAGACAGTTACCTACAAAGGAGTTCCCATCTGACTGTCAGTTGATTTCTCAAAAGAAACCTTATAGGGAAGAACCTGCTGGAAAGAAGTATTCCAAGTCATGAAAGACAAGGACCTATATCCGGATTGCTCTATCCAGCAAAGCTTTCATTTAGAATGGAAGGGCAGATAAAGTGCTTCTCAGATAAGGTCAAGTTAAAGGAGTTCATCATTATCAAGCCCTTATTATATGAAATGCTGAAGGGACTTATCTAAGAAAAAGAAGATGATAAAAAATAAGAACAGTAAAATGAAAACTCACAACTATCAACAATCGAACCTAAAAAACAACAAAAACAAAAACAAAGCAAACAACCAGAACAGGAACAGAATCCCAGAACTGAAGATCACATGGAAGGTTATCAGTGGGGAGGGGAGAATGAGGGGAAACGGTACAGGGAATGAGAAGCATAAATGGTAAGTACAAAAAAGACAAGGGGAAGTTAAGAAGAGTATAGGAAATGGAGAAGCCAAAGAACTTATATGTATAACCCATGGACACGAGCTAAGGGGGGAAACTGTGGGGGTTGGGGGTGGGATTGCATGGCAGAGGGGAATAAAGAGGAGAAAAGAATGGGACAACTGTAACAGGATAATCAATAATATATACTTAAAATACTAAGACACATAAAATGTAAAATTACTCCATTTGAGTAGTTCTTATAATGAAAATACATTACTTTATAAAGTGAAATGATGTCAAAGGGGAAAAAAAGTTCTCCTGTGCCTTATGAGGAAGGGCCTCACAATTCCTGATCTCAACTATTTTGACCTGTTGCTGTGGGTCTACTTCCCATCTCAGTCTTTATTTTGAAAGGTCTCCCATTTTACCCTCAAAAGCAGATTTTGTTTCCCCCTCTCAATCCTACCTAAACCTGCTCTTTCTGATGCTTAGCTCTCAAGTTCCCCAGAAATGGTTCTGGCTCCCCTTAGAATCCAGGTGAGATGAGGAACAGCATTAAGACAGCAGTGCTAGGGATGAAGAGGTTGGGTTGGATTTGGAAGATATTTCTAAGGTGGAAGGTTGTAGTGTCCCTGGTGGTAAAAAGAGGGAGGAACACAGATGACAAACTCATCTCTGGACAGTAACTGGACAGCTGGGTGGATGGATGGTGATCAAGAATAAAAGAGAAGCAGCAGGTGCAGACAATAAGCTGAGTTTGACACAGCCACAGTTCCGGGGGTAGATGCTCTGTATTTACTTGGTTAGATATGTGGATACAGGAACTTCAGAAAAGATTTGGGCATGAACGTATGGGTGAGCACTAGCTGAATTCATGGAAGTAAATGAGGTCATCCATAAGGGGGAGAAAAGAGTGAACATGGCCCATGGACAGAATCTTTGGGATACTCTCTTAAAGAGATGAGAAGAACTCTAAAGGAGGGTGGCCAGCAACTAGACTTCAGTAGCTGAAGTAAGTAAGAGTTCAGAATAGAAGAAACCACACGCTGATGGTCTACCAGGCTTTTATAAAATACTGAATTAGTTGTCAGGATTTACAATTAGGTAAATTTCTCATTAATCTGGATTTCTGGCTTCCCTCAAAAAAATTTAATAACCCACCAACACGGGGCACCTATTTTTGCATGGCAATAACCAGCAGGAATTGAGTAAAAGATAGCTCCTTTTAGTCAGAGCATGAGCTATCCCTTCTTGCCTGGCCCCTGGTGTAGAAGATGAGGAAGTACTGTACTTCCCTTTGTGAATGAAGAAGTTCTTATTAGTGCTCATCTAGAGGTCACTGAAATACAGGCCGGAGTTTGGTCCATAATGCCCATGTTTGGCCCTGAAGGCAGGAACCCTGGGACAAACAGGTCTGAATGAAGGATCCTGTCACATCAGACTGGGAATCCCCCTTTCCCAGCCAATCTATGGGAGCAGGCCTGCCTCAGTGACAGTCCCAGGCCCAGCAGTGCTCTCTGGATGGCCTTCTCCCCTGGACAGCAGCAGCACATTTCCCAAGGGGCTGAGACAGGCTGCTGGAGTCAGCCAAGTCCCCCAGCGGAGAACTTCCTGGCTCTGGTTTCTAGACTCTCCTGCCACACTCCCTGAATGGGTCTACCAGATGGCAGGCAGCCTTTTCTTTCCTCCAGATTTTGAGTTCGTTCATCCTACCTGAGAACGGTGACTTGCTGTTCTTCTGACAACTGCTACCCTCTCCAGCAAGATTAAAAAGCACATCAGTTCTGCGTTCTACATATGTAATATTTAGTGCTGTCTATTATTTTTTAAAAATCCTTCTTCAATTATTATACAATTAGGTATTGTCTAAAAGTCATTATCTAATTATCAGTTATTTACATGGATTCTGATCCAACACGTACATGCACATTTTGTGGTTTCACTATGTAATTATCTGCACTACTGCCAAATACAAAATTCTATGAAGATTTGGTAGCATAAATTAAGAACTAATTACAAGTGATCTCACTTATTAAATCTTGCTCATTGATCATAAACTGGAAGATAATATCACTTTAAGGTGCTAAATTGTGAGGCTGGGTAAGAGCTTTTTCTCTCTTCCCTGTGTCAAACAATTGACGTCTCCTTCCCTAGAAGTGGGTCGAATTAGCCTGGATTTCCACCTTAAATGTGGCACTTGTTTCAAATCTTGAGATTTGGTATCTTGGGTCTCTGAACCTGAGTTCAGCTGACTTAGCTCTGTTAAATAACCTTAAAACAAGTCATTTAGGTTCTCTGAGCTTCTACATCATTAAGTTATCACACAGGGACACCACACCACTTGCAGGGTTACTAAATGTGGCAATTTATATAGAAAATGGCTAATCAATACTGTTCATCCTCCAGTACATGGAAAACTGGGTTTTGTTCTTGGTCAAAAAGTGGTAGTCTACAACTGCCACTAGGTGCCAGAGGCCCTGGCCTTTTCACTTGAGTTTATTGGAAGATTTTCTGATTAGAAATGGAAAACTCAAAAGAATAAGGAGATGAATAGGTTGAAAAGCCCACCCTTTGTCTATGTACGCTTCCAGGTGTTTTAGTGGTTCTCTCACATAACTGCTGCTATCACTCTGAGAGGCAAGAATTCTTCATCTTGTGTATGAGGAAGCCAAGGCTTAGTGGAACTGACTTACCCTATAAGTGGAACTGGAACGTAAACTGATGTCTGATGAGCTGTGAAGCCTGTGCTCTTTTCTGTTTTTCATTCCCCTAGGGTGGCTGGAAAAGCACTTGGGACTTAAACAACCACGGCCCTCTTAAGAACATCATATAGAAGCCAATTCTGCCAAGTTCATCTGCACTCTCTGGTTCATTCCTTATCTCATTTCCATGGCTCATAATAAGGCCCAGTGACCCTCCACTTCCCTGAAGACAGTGCAGAGTCTCTGCCGTTTCTGCTTGAGCTGAGATAGGCGGGTAGGCTACACCTCAAAAGGCATTCAGCCGTGCATGGCCTTCACTCAGTCACAACACAGAGTAAAAGCATAGTCTCCAAAAGGCAGCATTAGCTGTTCCAACCAGCAATTAAAATAACAAACTGCTGTTTTAGCCATTTGGGTGAGTCACAGCAGAGGACCTGAACGCCTTCACAGAGTAGAGTGGGGACTCTGGAAAGTGTGTGAGGCCCTGCTGCTAGTAGGGTAAGCCCCATGCAGGGCTAATACTGGGGTAGCGCAAGCACCGAGAGATTGGCACTTGCAAGCATTAGAAAGATTCAAGACCGCCAATGCCCTGCCCTACGAGGCAGAAGCCAGTTCATTCTACTGGTAAGCCTCTCCTGGGTTTTACTGGGATTACTGCCCATTCAGTAAACCAAGTCTTCCAAGTACCAACTTCCCTAAAAAATAATGTGGTCAGGTCCTTTTCCTGGGGTACCTCCTGAGTGGCAGTAAAACTGCTACACTTTTGAGACTTTCCTGCTCCTAGAGGGCTCTACTTTCCCAAAATGGACTTCTTCTTCCTAATGTGCAGATCTGTTGGGTGGCCACTCATAATACCTGATCCTGTGCCATACAAACAAGGGTAGATGAACTTCCCCTTGAGCCCACAAAGACTCCAGGGTTGGTAGTACACGTGTTCTACACAGAAACACCCCTTGTGGGAAAGAAGGCCCAGCTAACCTCAGAATACACACAATGCAGAACCAGCTATGCCAACTTTTGATGTAAACAACACATTACATGCATCCTAGTCACCCAGCCAGACAAACCAAAAGAATTTAAAGACAAAAAGAACATTGAAAACAGTTTCTTTCTTAGAGCTGTTTCTGTTTCTTGAACATAAGGCTTTTTGAAAAGTTACTGTTTAAGATCATTAAACATCCCCCTGCAGTACCCCAATTAACAAGATACTAATAAAAACTGGATCCAAAGGACTGACCCAACCTGGATATATTCTAGAGTAGCAGGACAGATGGAAAGAAAAGAAAAAAAATAAAGAGTCAACTAGGACCATAAAAAAACTTTAAAACGTTGAAAGATTATGCCGATAAAAAAGACATAGAATAGTGGATTTTTTTCTTTCTCCTACTTTTATTTTTTTAATTTTATTTACATATAAAATATTTATCTGGGTAGCAAATGGGTATTTCAAGAAAATACCAAGGGCACAATTTTATCTGTTCCCACAGCACAGTTAATTTATTAAAAGAGCCAAAGGTGCCCCCGTGTGGCCATGGAGGAAAATGCTGCAGCTTAAGAAGGAGGTGCTAACACCTTTTAAGAGGCCTTGGGTTTTCCACAGGGTTTTGCATCCTTTCCACACCTTACAGTTTTATTACTTGTAGAATTTGGTACGTTTGCATCATAGGCCTTGACTTCTAACAAGAGGAGAGGTTTCATGTTTTAAATATATATACTAAAGTTTTAAGTAATCAACATGAACCATTAAGATTAGTGGAAACCCTACCACACAGACTCCAACCCTGCTAGGACATGCAGCGATGCTCTGGTTAGTGAACAGTCAGGCAAGGATGTGGGGTGAGGGAACCAACCTGCTGGAAGCAAGGCAGATTCCAAAGAACAAAAGCAGCTTTAGTCCACATTGGAAAACAAGTCCAGCTTCTGTTCCCATTTGAGTTATAGAAGATCGTAAGCCAATGCCAAGGACCAGAATAGAATTTAAGATAATATCACAAAGATTTAATTCCATGCCAATCCACCAACATGAACTTGATCTCTAGACATTTAAGGCAACTATCATTCAACATGATATATGGGTCAATAACGTATTTCTTTAAAGAAAATAAACTCCTTTCCCCTCATACCAGAGGTATATGCTATCACATATCACACAATTATAAAGTATATGCATACCTGAAATAATTTTTGTCTTATTAAAATGTTTTCAGTGTTCTCTCATTAGATAAACTATTCTCAGAGAAGGAAGTGAAGACATCCAATAGCAAAGAAGGCACTCAGCTCTGGCAGTAGAAGCTTCCCTTGACACATACTTTTTAAACTCTAAGAGCATTACCATAATATCTATAAAACCTCATCCATGACACCAAGCCTTAAACCTGGGGCACTGAAACACAAAGACACAAGACAAATCTTTTGTGCCTCCAGCTACGCAGCATATTCCCTGGGAATCTCCTAAGTACTAGACCTAAACAAAGGCTAATACTGTGACTGAAATACATTTTGAACAGGCAAGGAGTGCAAATAAATACATTATTGTTATAACATGGAAAAATACTTATAAGATGTTAAATGAAAAACAGCATAATATAAAACTGAAAACAGCATCAGCATGACCCAAGTTAAATCCACATAATCACACACTCCATTTACAGAAAGGGAGACTAGAAGGAAATACTGAAGTACCAGTAGTAGTTGTGTTTGAGAAGGCTGAGACTAGGGGTGACTTTGTCACTGTTTTCTTTCACTTTTCCAAATCTTTAATGAGCACATGCTACTCTTTTTAAATGAAACAAACAAGTAAATAATAAATACTTATTGACCACTTACTGAATGAATAGATGTCACCTAACTCAAATACCCTAAAATTCCATCAAGGTAGAAACTGGGTTTGGGTCTGGCGTACAACTCACTGTGTCATCACAGGTAAGTACAGCAGGACAGTGGGGATGGGGATGGGTACAGGAGATGATTACTGGATTGGAGGAATCTGAAGCCATAGATTAAATCCTGACTCTGTGTGACCTAGCCCAAGACTGGTTTCCTCAGTCTGTCAAGTGAGAGGTTAGACTACAATAGCGTTTCCTAATCTTTAGTGGGTTACTGATCACTCTAACTCAGGAACACTCTTCTCTAGGGAAAAAAGCAAAAAACAAACAAAAAACCCCCATATATGCTCACAGAGCTTTCAAAAACAAGCCAGGAGGTTTATGGATGCTCTAGAGAGTCATAGACCAGGTTAAGAACAATGATGGGTTAGTATGTTATCTTCTGCAGCTCAGGATCCACTGTCACAGTGAGGTATATTCTAGTCCTATTTTCATTTCCTGTGTCTTTGCTGAGGGCCTGGTCTAGTAGCTACTGCCAAAATATGCCAAGATCATGAGTATCCTGCCCTAAGCAATAGCCACCTTTCAAAAGTGTGGCTTAACTACTCAGATCCGGTCTTCTTTGCAGATAACGAGGAATTCTGGCACCATACTAAAAAATATCAGACTGAACAGAACACTGGGCTGCTGAAACTGAAGCTCAGCAGAGGGTAACCAAAACATTAACAGAACAAAAAACGAAACTCCACTTCCAGAGGCATTCCCGTTGAGCCCTGACATTCCAACTGGAAATGTATTTTAAGAATATGGGTTACCATGACCTCAGAATTCTCCTATGCTAACAGGTAAGCACAGAGGGGGTTTACAAAGGAACCCACAAAAGGCAATATTTGATCAGCTACAACTTATCTGCCAATAGATGAGCATTTCTTAAGCAGCCTACTGCACATAACTATCTTGCTTCATTACTTATTTCTATCATCATTTACCCATTCAAAGCCAAGAAAATATTTTCCCCAACCCTAGGATTCAAACAGGATAGACAGTTTTCAATTCTGAATACTCTTATATTAAAAAACAAAACAAAGCTCCATTTCAAATGTCGTACCCGAGTAAAACTGCTACAAGACAGTACTCTCAACAGGTTGGAGGTAGGGGTATGGCTTCATTCTGTTGTGTCTCAGTCACATCTGGGAGTTTAGCTTACCTAATTGTTTCTGAAATACGTGTCATCAAAACAGACATGAGTCAGGAACGTGACGTTTCCAGGCGCTGCCCAGATCAGCCCTTCTCCTGGCATTACTAAGCTTTCTCTCCCTGGCTCTCCCACCACCTACCATCAGTCCAGTTCTTTTCTTAGGACTGACTCAGGGGTAATCAATCATATACACCCTGAGAAAGTCTTCAGTCTTCAGAGTGTCTCTACAAGAGGGTACATGGCCCGGTGACATCCTGCCTCCATTTGGGGGGTGAAAAAGCACGATGCTCTATACAGTTATGACCCAGCAAGATTCCAAAAATAATCCTTTCGACCTCAGAAGAAATCTAAAGCTAAGGTGATCAGTTTAAGTCAGGTTTAAATCCCTTTTGAGTCTTCTGATAGCTTTCTGTTGATGCTGATAACCACAATTCTTCCTCCTAAACTACCATACTACAATGCCCTGAAACTTTAAAAAAAAAAAGGGGGGGGGTTAAAAAATGAATGAATTTTTTTTTCTGTTTTTAAAGACAATCCCACATAATGCGACCTACCAACAGGCCAATGGTAGAATTCCTCTTGCCACCCCACAGGCCACTCCAAAACAAGTTGCTCTATAGAACTTCCCCAACTATGCTAGAAGTTTGGAGTTAGCTAGCAACAAGCCTGAAAATTTGGTTACGTATATAGGTACAAAGCTGGTTCATCAAATCCCTGTTCTGACCTTCAACCCAATGCATTTCAACTAAGGCATCATCTACCTCCTTCTTAACGTTTATCAAACACTTGAATAGGTAATGTCCAGCCACTCCTTGAACATGGTTCCCTTTTTCAGACACCGGGTTGCTGAACTGCTCAGAAGCCTCTTGGTCCTGGGTTTCATTGCTAGTGCCTTTACAACCTTCCAAACCCTCCATCTCTCCTTTTTCCTCACTCTTTTCGTCCTCCATAGGTTCTAGGTTTTCCTCCAGAGAAAGCGAATCCTGGACTGAGCCATGGCCCTTAATAGGGGCTGACTCGCCTTCCTGTACAGCAGGCCCACAGAGGGTACTCTCCCCAGCGCCCTGAGCCAAATCTTGGCTACTGCCAGACTCTTTGGGAGTGAACTTTTTCTCTTCCAAGGCTTGGATGACGTCCTCAGGTGCTCGAGGAACTTCTCTCAATTGTCTCACTCGTTCTCTTTTCTTTCTCCTTAAATGAATCCAGGAGTTTTCTATGGCTGTTAGGAAAAGGCTAACTTCCTCCTTTCCACAGGGAACTCGTTTATGCTGGACCTATTTGGAGAAAAAACAAAATTTTATAGGAAATCACTTTTCTACTCAAAACTTCTTTAAACAAAAAGAAAAGAGCCCTGGCCGGTGTGGCTCAGTGGGTCAAGTGCCTGCCTGTGACCCAAAGGGTTGCAGGTTTGATTCCCAGTCAGGGCACATGCCTGGGTTGCAGGCCAGGTCCCTGGTTGGAGACACGTGAGGGGCAACTGGTCAATGTAGCTCTCACACATTGATGTCTCTCTCCTGTTCTTTCTCCCTCCCTTCCCATCTCTCTAAAAATAAATAAAATCTTTGAAAAAAGGAAAAGAAAATAAGAAAGAGATAATAAGTACTTCTTCAATGTGTTTATTAATCAGATACCTTCAGATCAGTGAGAATTTTTTCAATCCATGTTGTTACAACTACTATGCCTTCTACTGTCTCAGAGCCCAAAGGCGACGCTTTAAGGGATAATTCTTTCATCACAGACTCCAACACTACAAATGTAATGGGTTTCCTTGGCTTCTCTAGTTTTCTTCGCTTACTTGGTGGTGACTGAAAGAAAAAGAAGGCATGGGAAAAGAGGAGAAAGTTATCCAAATAATTTAATGCATTACAATGAACTCAGCCAGGGAACTGTCCATGACTTATTACCAATCACATAGCACTCAAAACACAAAGGCCTTTCTTTATATGTTTGTTTGTAAAAGTTAATCCTGGAAAATAGGCTTATCACCTCCCCATTTTACAGAAGGGAAAAAAAAAATGAAATACAGAGAGGCTGTGTAATCAGCTCAAGGTCACACAAGTGGTAACTGCAAAGTTAGGATGTGAACTCCAAACCCAGGTTCTTTCTGCCATGCCATGCTTCTGGTGTTTTGGCTGTCACATGCGACAACTCCTCTAATAACTAAATATCCTTATCTACCTGTGATGTCCCCAATGGGCCTGTGTAATTATTTCCTTCATGGCAACTCAAAGACCCTCAAAGGCACTGTGCTCTTTTCTATAAAGAAGTTCATGGCTAAAATCTCCAACTTGTAGTCTGAGCTTGTACTTGCTGAGGTTCGAAAGAAAATAGCTGGTGAGCTGCGGCTTGTGAGATCACATGCTAAAAATGAGCAGGGTGCTAGGATCACATGGGTGGAAGATGAGGACTGCTTGATCTTGCTCCAAAGTAGAGCCAGGGGCATGGCATTGCCTCTCAGCTGTGGAGAGGGGGCACCAGAACCAATGAGAACAGTGAATTTGAAAGCTGGTTCCACATAATTCAAAACTGTCATCTTCCTATTTCAAGCTTGGAAAGTGAATTGTACTTTACCCACTAGAGGGACTCAAGTTCCATTCTATAAACCAAATGACATTGCTGTATTTAAAATTTATTTCTTTAAAGTAAAAAATGTCTAAATATTAAAAAACAAAAACTCAGCTAAGACCAGATATATTATGGGCACTTTATTTTCAGAGACAGTCTCATACTTATTGACAAAATTTATCGAAACTTAAAAAAAAAAATGAGATAATTTTAAGGTCATGGTCAAAATGAACAGATGAAGATTATATGAAGAAAGTCTTAAAAAGGGAAACACCTACTTAGCTTTGCAGATATTTTCCTACAAAAAAACAAGTCCCTGATGAATTGTGTTGCTGTTAACTCCAAATCTACCTGGAAATAGTGTCAGAGCAGGTGCAAACACACACACAGAAAGGTCTAACTACTGGGTGAGGCCTTGTAAGAACTAACCAGCAATCCCATACCCTATACACAAAATAGCCAGTTTATTCTATGCTAGAAAACTTGATGAGACAAATTCATATTGACATTAAGCCAATAGAATTGTTATTACTCAACTGCCCAGCATAAGAAACATAATTTCTAGTCTACTGAGAGCTTAAATATTTTGCACTAAGGAGATTCAGCTGGGGAGAAAGAAAGATGGTGGTGTATAGGAGGATGGGGCATAAGAAGCAGATTCACTAACAAAATAAACAAAACTGAAACAGACTGATGGTTGACAGAGGGGAGAGGGGTTGGGGATTGAGTAAAAAAGAAGAAGGGATTAGAACTACAAATTGGTAGCCACAAAACAGTCACAGGGATGTATAGGACTGCATAGAAAATCTAGTCAATAATACTGTAAGAACTACATATGGTGCCACATGGGTACTGGAACTACTGGGGGAACACTTTGTAAAGCGTATGAGTGTCTAACTACTATGCTGCACACCTGAAATTCATACAAAGTAACATTGAATGTAAACTGTAATTGAAAAATAAAATTTAGCCCTGGCTGGCGTAGCTCAGTGGATTGAGCTCGGGCTGGGAACCAAAGTGTCCCAGGTTCGATTCCCAGCCAGGGTACATTCCTGGGTTGCAGGCCATAACCCCCAGCAACTGCACATTGATGTCTCCCTCCCTCTCTCCCTCCCTCTCTCTCTCCCCCCCCCGCCCCCTTCCCTCCCTGAAAATGGATGAATAAAATCTTAAAAAAAAACAAAACAAAACAGATTCCCCATTGCACTTCCCAACATCCACCCAAGGCTGTCACCACGGAGAGGACACTGTACCAGGGCCATCCCTAATAGCCCTCCAGGCACACCCAAGGTTATTGACAAATGGTGAAAAGACAGTGCTTTATATCCCTTCTGACAGAGGTGGTAATCCTTTGTGTTCACAAATTCCAACCAGCAAAGTGAAGACAATGCTGCTGTGTTTCTTATTTGTCTTGCTGGAGTCAGCCTGCAATCACCCCTTCTCCGAAAGAATGGACTCATCATCATTTTTAGAACTTAAAGGAGAGAAATGCATCCTCACCAAACCTAGCAAGAGCTCTACCAAGGATCCACTTTCCAAGTTCCAAAGGAGTCAGAAACAACAAAATAGACAACTTACTGCCCAGTTATCCCAGGACTAAAATGAAACTCCTCTGTCTCAGATATGGCTCTTATTTACCTTGCACCCGGGCCCCAGTTTTCCATCCACAATGATAACTGACAAATCTGGATACACACATATACATACATAGTCCTAGGATTATTTTAGTTTTACTCTATTGTACAATATAGGTACTCAAGGAAGATAATTTGTACTCTCGAAATTCTCAAGCAAAGTTTTTAAACGATTAAAGATGAACTTAAGCCTGGCTTACAGCAATCATTCCTCTCCCCCTCATGTTTATACTGAAAATTCTTAGTAGGCAGGGCAAGAGTAAAATATAGGAGCAGGTCTTAAGAAATTAATAGTTAAAATCAACCCCACAGTTCCCTGGTAGTAGGTGATTTTATCACCTGCCACAACACTAGTAAATAGAAGCTGTCTGTTTTCCCCAATTGAGATTATCTTACTTTGTTAATACGCTTATAATCTCAAACCACAAATTTTTTTTACAGATTTTATTTATTTATTTCCAGAGAGAGGGGAAGGGAGGGAGAAAGAGAAGGAGAGAAACAACCAATGGTTGTTCTCATGCACCCCTCAATGGGGACCTGGCCTGCACGTGCACTGACTGGGAATCAAACAGGAGACCCTTTGGTTCACAGGTCGGCACTCAGTCCACTGAGCCACGCCAGCCAAGGCTCAAACCACAAATCTTTTAAATGAAAAGCGCTATACTCAACTGTCATAATCTAATTTAACAGGCAAGATAACATAAATAATTTGTCATCTTAAAGTATAATTAAAAAAATCAATTCCTTACAATGACTAATTCAGTTTAATGCAAAGGACTAGCAGATAAATTTACAATCGATATCACATTAGAAGATGTTAATGTTACCCAGCTGAAATTACAATGTGAAAGAAGCTTGGTAGGGAGCAGTTAATCCCACAGGGTATATAGGTTTTGTATCTTTTGAATTGCAAGGATTCAACGAATAATAACCAGCAGGCAGAGGACCTTCAAATGTTATTTTGTTGCATTATTGAAAACACATCAGACTGAAACCATAATTGGACAAAAAATAGTTCTTAAATTTGAAAATCTGCTTTAACTAGCAGGACTGTGTATAATTTCTTAAATCCTCACTCTTAATTTCTAGATTTCACTGGTGCAATCAGTCAGTCAAGAGACTCTCAAATTACGTATAACCTGACACAAATCCATGTAGCATCTGCCATACTGCCAAGGCTCTGCTGTTAATGACAGCTAAAGCAACAACTCCCAATGGAGCCACAAGCTACATGAAATTATTGTATTCTCCCTAGTATCTGCAAGAAAGGAGGGGAGTCATTCACGACAACCTGCTGAGCATGAAGCCACAGCCTCCTTGTTTCGACAAGGCAGCTTCTAGAGTGATATGGAGGAGAAAGGAGCACGTTTGGCATGGGGATCTTTGCTGATCTGCTGCACTCTGAAGGGCTACATTCCTAGGCCCCCCAGGCACAAGCAGAATAGCTCATGGGCCAGGATCCAGCACAGACCCTCATGTTTTAGAGATACAAAGCCAGCGGGCTGACACTGACACCTGGATGGAACACCGACAGGAGGTGAGTTGGGAAGGGCAGCCAGACTACCTTGCCAACTACTCTGTATTCAGATGTGTGCCACCTCTGCTGCCATGAAATAAATGGAATATTTTGTTGCCTAAGGGTGCAGCCTCCTCGTTAACAGTCCAGTGCATATTTCTATTATTATCTTAATCAGATGGGTCACTGTTCAAAATGTCCTGATCATTCCCGGTATATAGGTAATAACAGTAAAAAGTAAAACAGCAAAAGGAAAGAAAAACTTATGTAGAATGCTACCTATCTAAAAGGTGGTTATAACTCTATGGGCATGGGTGCCTTTCCTTGTATGAAAAAGTAAACAGTGGAGCCCTGACCGGTGTGGTTCTGTTGGGTGGGCACTGTCCCGCAAAGCAAAAGGTTGCCAGTTTGATTCCCTGTCTGGGCGAATGTCTGGGTTGTGGGTTCACTCCCCAGCTGGGGTGTGTACAAGAGGCAACCAGTGGATGTTTCTCACACTGATGTTTCTCTCCCTTTTTCTCCCTCCCTTTCTCCATCCCTTAAAAAAAAAGGATAAATTGTAAAATTGTTTAAATAGTAATCCATGAAGCAGTGAGGGATCAGAGTTAAAAGACAAGAGAAACAAGCCAGACTTTTGACAACATCACCTTTTTTAAAGATCTGCTATTGAAACCATGTAAATATATTTTACAATTACAAAACAAAATTAACACAAAAAGACACTGTGAAATTGTCCCCAAAGACAAAAAAAAAATGATAAAGCAAAAATTTGCTATTTTCACAAATCTTTCTGTTACTGGTAGTGTTGAGACCTGTGACAGTGCGTTAAAACAGACGGCAGTTATGTTACAACTGTATACGGTCAGTGACTGAGCTTGCTGACATGGGATTTTTGCAATAGGAGATATTAAGTAGAAACTGAATAGAAAGTACAGCATAAACTTAGACCATATTTCATCTTTAAAAAGAAAATAATTCCATCCTGACTGGTGTATAGCTCAGTGGGTTGGGCATCATCCCCACACATCAAACGGTTGCCAGGATTGTGGGCTGGGATCCTGGTTGGAGGCACACGAGAGGCAACCGATAG